GAGAGATAACAGAATTGAGCACACCTTGCAGTCTCGATGACAGTAGCCTTGAAATGACCTTGTAAAAGGTGTTAAGGCAAGAAATTGGCCTAAAATGTGAAGTGCTCGATGGATTGCTAATTTTTGGAATCAAAACCAAAGATGTTGCGTTCCACTGTTTTAACAACTGTCCTGATCTAAAAAATTCCTGAATCGCTTCTACCACTTCTGTACCCACAACATTCCAACATCCAGTGAAGAATTCGGCTGAAAAACCATCAGGGCCACTTGTCTTATTTCTCGGTAGATCAAAAAACGCTTTTTTAATTTCCTCATTAGTAAAATCGGCTTCAAGCAAACCCACTTGCTCCTGAGAACAACTAAAATCTAGCAAATCAGTGATATCCTCCTGCGCGAACAAAACAGGACTCACTTCCCCTCCCAACAAGTCAGTGAAGTAGTTTATACAATGAAAATGAATTTCAGCCTGAGATTCAAAACGAGAACCATTCGCTCCTTCCAAATAATGAATATGGTTTAGAGAAAACCTTGCAGCCATCATTCTATGAAAATAGGCAGTGTTACAGTCGCCATCTCGAAGCCAAGAGATCCTGGATCTTTGGTAGAGAAAAGATTCTTCCGCCTTTGATAGTATCTGCCATTTTCTTTCAGCTTCAAGTTCTCTCTCAGCTAAGGAAGAACTGGGATTAGTTAACATTTGCCCTTGTAAAGAAAGAAGGATCTCATGAGCTTCTTCTGTCCTCTTCTCCAGCTCAGAATAGTTAACCTTACAAAAAGTCCTGATGCTGTTCTTTAACCCTTTTAATTTCTTGGAGACTCTAAACATGGCAGAGCCAACCACATTTATAGTAAACCAGGAGATTTCGATCATAGGAACGAAGTCTTGGTTTTGAAGAAGAAAGTTGTAGAACTTAAAAGCCTTTTTTTGCCTTTGGATGGTCTGATTCAGAATAATGCTACTAGACGCGTGGTCTGAGAAATCAGGTTCTCCAAACCAGCCTATAGAAGTGGGGAATTGGGCATTCCATTCATCATTCACCAAAATTCTATCCAACTTCTTAGCAATAGGGCTCAGCTTTCTCTTATTCCACCAAGTGAAAGAACACCCTCTAAAAGATAAGTCAGAAAGTGAAGCATCCAACAAGCAATCTCTGAAAACTCTTATTTTTCTATCCACATTCAGAGTCGAAACTGCAGAGTGCTCATGCGGATTAAGAACCTGGTTAAAGTCCCCAACCACAGCCCAAGCCTTTCCTAGAACCAACTGATGAGACGCCAAACTGACAATCTCCTCCCATAACAATTTTCTTACCGCTTCCTCATTAGAAGCATACACAAAAGATACCACAAAAGAGTTATGGTAATCAGGTAGCTTGACCTCACAAGTCACCATTTGAAGGGATTCAGACGCGTTTAAACTGACTTTTAAATCAGTTCACGAAGTGACAAATCATTTCTTCTTCCTTTATTGATCTGACAAATAAAACGAGTACGTATGAACTTGGTGATCCTTATTAGGGCGGTAATGTGGTTCATTCACGAGCTAACTCACAACGTACTAGAATTCGTTTCTTATAAACTTTTTTCAGTTAACTCAACCACCTAATTGATTTATTAAACGAATTTTAAAACATAGTTTGAACATAAAAAACTCGAACTGAATTGAAACGGTTCATGAATTATTGACTTATTTTGACATCTTACGCTTATACGTACTAAGGGACTACATCATCCAAGTTTATATAATCTAATCACCTTGAATCCTTCTAACCGACCTAACTTAATCGGTTGTTTTGTCTCACAAGTTTTAATATTATGTAATTATCTGTTACTCGTTAGACGCGTTCCTCGTCGATTTTGTTTGACTCATATCTCAATCATTCAATCAACACACCAATAATAAGTTGAATTAAATATCTATAAAAGTATATAATATAAATATAAAAGATAATGGGAAGGGGAGGATATTGCATGGGCTAAAATACATACGATGGAACTAGTTTTAGTGGTGCACATCACAACTTTAGTGCAAGAAAGACATCCGAAATAATATTATTATTATATCGGTTGGAATGATAATAAAAAAAAATCTAGAAGTTTTGACTTGTTTGCAAAATAAAATAAGTGAGAATGATCATGTTATCTCACGATGATTACATTTCGGATCAAACCCAATCTTCATTTTCGAAAAATTGTCCAAAATCCAACTTTTATATGACTACATGATGATAAGTCGCATGATAGTAACTAATTGTGTTGGGATGATGCAGTAAATTACACTTAACTAGTTTAATTATTATATTATTAAATACTCTCTCGGTTTTCAATTACTAGATCTTTTGAGTTTTCACACATGACACATCAAAAAGAAATTTGTAATTACATAATTATCCTTATTTATATTAATTGTTATTGGAAATTTTAAATAGAAAATGGTAGAGGCGAACCAAGAAAAAAAACTTAGTGAAGATTTATAAATTTGTGAAACTTTCCAATTCATTTATCAGATCGAACAACTCAATAATATTTTTATATATTTACTACCATAAGAAAAAGCGCAATAAATAATGTAGAAACCTAATAATAGTTTGAAACGGAAGGAATTTTATTTATAACTAGTAGAACTATATAAACTAGGACTCCGGACCCCCGCGATGTCGCGGGGGAAAATATTTCAAAAATCGTTTAAAAAAATTTTCAAACAAAAATTAGTAATAACGATGGTAGATGATTAAATGTTATAACGATTTATAAAATAAATTTAAAGTTGCAAATTTTGGTGAAATAAACTAAATGTTGCAATGGTTCAACTAAACGGTTGCAACCGTTTTATGAAAAGTTACAATTAAAAAGATACACCCGTAAAAAATATTTACTCGGATTGCAACTTTCTCAAAAAACATAACGTAAAATAATGTTTTTAGTTTAAAAAAAAAACAAATGTCGTGATGTATCAAAAGTTGCAATGGTTCGTGAAGTTCGTCAAATAAACTAAAGATTACAACGATTCGTAAAACAAAACCAAAAATTGCAATGATTGGTCAAATAAACCAAATGTTTCAACGGTCTAACTAAACGATTACAATCTCATTTAAATACATTTTGGTAATTAAAAATTAAAAATATTAATTTATGAAAAGTTATACCGAGAGACGCGACGGTAGATAATTAGATGTTATAGCAATTTATAAAATAAACCAAAGATTATAATTATTCGTGAAATAAACTAAATATATAAATCAAAGGTTGCAATCGTTCGTGAAATAAAATAAATATATAAATCAAAGGTTGCAATTATTTGTGATATAAACTAAATATATAAACTAAAGGTTGCAATTGTTCGTGAAATAAACTAAATATTGCAATAATTCAAATAAGAGGTTGCAACTATTTATGAAGAGTTACAACAAAAAGACGTAATCGCAGAATACATTTGGATTACAATTTTCTAAAAAACATACCCGTAAAATATATATTTTAGTTTAAAACAATTTTAACCAAAAATTGCGATTAAAAGACACAACCGTTCAAATGTGCAAAAGGCATTTATTGAGATTGCTATTATATGAAAAATTAAAAGCGACCAACACATATGAAAAATATAGTCGATAGCCATATTGCTTGAGGATGTCTTCTCATATTTGGACTTTGTAATAATGTTAACGCAACATCAATATTTTGTTGTATACAACCCATATATATTGCCAGGTAGAAAGCATCATTGTTACCATATATAATTGTTAAATAAAAAAATTCACTGTATAATCCCCCCAATTCTGAGAAAAAAATTGTTGGCATCTTCATTAAATTTTTATATTTAAAATTGATTAAAACTTTTCCATTTTCAAAATCATTCCAAAAATCTTTGATTAAATGAAGAATTAGAAGTTTTTCTTCAATATTAAAAAAGTGTATGTTTAGAAATAATTTAGACAATAAAGAATTTGATTCCATTTGACATATAATTTGTTTTGAATTCATCGTAGAACAAATAATCGTTGTAGCAAGACAAAAAAATTGGAATTTCGAAAAGAAAGACAATATATAGAGTTGAAAAGACACGATTTTACAACTATTCGATTACGTAGACGAACGTGTCCGTTAAAGCTTTAATGTGTGGGGCTCATTTCACTCACGTATGTCCAAATTATTTAAACCTCTATATTATTGTTTTCCCATGATATCACATAAATGTTAAATGAATGATATAATTAAGGAGGTTATACTACTAAATATATCCATATGTAAACTATGAAATAAAACCAATTTTATATGTAGTTTATTGGTTTACGTAAAAAGAAATTCAATAAAACAACATGACGGTACAAAAATAACTGTAAGAAAAACAACCATAAATATTTAAACGAAATGTTGCAATAAAAAGACGCAACCGTTCAGATGTGTAAATGATATTTATTGGAAACGACATAACCGTAAAAAAATAACCGATTAACGAAAATTGCGAAAAAAAGACGCAACCAAAATAACCGTAAAAAAATAACCGATTTAAACGAAAGGTTGCGATAAAAAGACGCAACCGTTCAGATGTGCAAATGGTATTTATTAGATTGCTATTAAATATAGATTTCTATATTTACTTGCCTAAATAAATTAAAATAGTGTAAGTAACTCTCAACTCTTTTGGTTTTCCCCTTGTTTATTTTTTTGTATCGAGTTCACTAGAAATATAAAAATGGTTCAAATCTAATGGTGTAATAACATACTTGTAACAAATTTCTTTAACAAATTTGAAATTGCCATAACAGTCGCAGGAAAAACCATAGTACTAGTGACATGAATGATCTGTCTGACAATGACAACAAAAGAAGTTGCTTATATTCTTCATTTAAATATTTTCCTCTTTAAAAAAAAAAATATTTTCCTCTTTTCACATTATGAGCACTCTTTATTCTTTTTAATTATTTTTTTCTAGTTATAACGTCAAATTCACATTTATCTTCTCTCTATATAAACCACACTAAGTTTGCATCTCTCTTACAAACTCCAAGAGCATCGGAGCAACAAAAACCAAATTTAAAGAGTTCGCCGGAAAAACATGCCGACGAACAACACACCTTTCCTCACTATATTTCTCCTCTTTCTTGGTTTATTCCGGTTCGATTCATTTCCCGGCTTAGAAGCTGCGACCGGGAAATTAGCTTCGATTCCAGGATTATACGTGTTCGGAGATTCGTTGGTTGATGCCGGAAACAATAATCACTTACCAATTTCAATATCTAAAGCTAACTATCCACATAACGGCGTTGATTTTCCGAACAAGAAACCCACCGGAAGATTCTGTAACGGCAAGAACGCCGCCGATGCTATCGGTGAGTTTTTTTTTTTTTATTCGCCGGTGTCATCATTTTTTTTTTATCTGTATGAAATGAAAGTAATAGTGTTGGTATGTTATGGCAGGCCACGACTGGTTTGATTTAGATAGCGTAACGTGCTAACCATTAAAATTATATATTTTCACGTTGATAAATACAAAATGGTCATACGTTGAAAAATATAATAATTTTAAATTAGTTGTGGACGTCAATGTTTGTAATTCGAAACTGTTTATTTTATTTTCTTTGAAGAAAAGAGGATAATTCGAAATTAATGTTGCTATGAGATATCAGAATTTCATGAACAAAAAAAAAAAAAAAAAAAAAAAAAAAAAAGAATTTCATGAACAATAGAGTAGTATTTTTTAATAGAAATCTAATTTTGTTTTTTTTGGTTGTTTAATTAATAGCTGAGAAATTTGGTTTACCGTTACCACCTCCGTATCTCTCACTTAGAGGCTTACTAAAAAGGGAGAAGAGAAAATCTGCCGCCGTGACCGGTGTGAATTTTGCTTCTGGTGGAGCTGGAATCTTCAACAGTACCGACCAAAAACTTGTAAGTTTTTTTTTGATAAAATAACTATATATATATATATATATATATATATTCCCTTCCATGATATATTAAAAATTCTGAAAAATAATGAAATAGAGTATTGATGCGATGGTCAGCTTTAATTGAGTACCGAAAGTTGGGCGGAAGAATTTAATTCATGTCATTCATTATCATCAGGGAATATTTATTTAATAATTTAACTAATTTTTTAAAAAAAATTGTAAAAATGCGGTGAGCGTGGATCGAACACGCGACCTTCAGATCTTCAGTCTGACGCTCTCCCAACTGAGCTATCCCCGCTATTTGTTTTAAGATTGTTAATAGTTGTAATTATCTGACAGGGACAAGGTATTCCTTTATCAGAACAAGTCAACAATTGGCTCTCTATTCACGAAGAACTCATGAAACTTGAACCATCCGAAGCACAGATTCACCTATCGAAATCTCTATTCACTGTTGTCATAGGAAGTAACGATCTTTTCGATTACTTTGGAAAATTCGAACTCCGACAACAGAGCAAACCTGAAGAATATACAAAATTAATGGCTGATAAACTCAAAGAGCAATTAAAGGTAAACAAAAATTTGAACTATCAAGCACTTGTCTTCTTAGTTATATCTTTAAAAGTTGATTAAATTTATCGAGACTTGTATCAACAGAGAATTCACGAAAGTGGAGCGCGCAGATTCCTTATAATCGGAGTAGCACAGATCGGTTGCACACCGGGAAAAAGAGCGAAGAACTCGACAATCCATGAATGTGACGAAGAGGCAAACTTGTCTTGCTCCTTGTACAACGAAGCTCTAGTAAAGATGCTGCAACAACTCAAGCAAGAGTTGCAAGGCTCAATGACTTATACTTACTTTGATAACTACAAGTCCTTACATGACATTATCTCCAACCCAGCTCGTTACGGTACGTTGACAATATTTATATTTTTGGCATTTTGATTTTGTTGTCACTGCATGATCCACATACCAAACAAAAGTGGTGATACAGCTAGAAGAAGAAAAAGTTACACTAGGAAACAATATCGAGCCAACGTGTATCTAACACATAAAAACAAAACATGTTGTCGTTTTCTGATTTCAGGTTTTGCGGATGTGACATCAGCGTGTTGTGGAAATGGGAAATTAAACGCAGATCTTCCTTGTCTTCCTTTGGCAAAGTTGTGTTCAGACAGAACCAAATATCTTTTCTGGGATCGCTACGGTCATCCCACAGAAGCTGCTGCTCGGACCATCGTCGATCTTATGTTGACTGATGATTCACACTACTCATCTCCTATAACCCTTACTCAGTTGGTCTCTACATGATCAATAATACACACGGCTTCGTTTTTTTTTGGAAGAGAGTAGTACATAATCAAGTAGACAAATGGGATTTGGAAACTTGATTTGTAATCAAGTATACGTTACTAATGAAATATATAAGTTTTTTAAAAATACAAATTTACTAGTTTTTCTAATTTTACCGGTTTAGTTAAATTTAATGATGAGTATTCTAAACCAAAACTTCATAAACCGGTTTGCCTGAGCTTCCTTGCAATACACTGTTCCTCAACGTGGTGCTCTTCCTTGGGTTGTTTTTTCTTCTTCTTTGAACTGAAATTGGTAGTGTGTGGGATGTAAGACCACGATGGGTCATGACATTTAGATATCTTGACTTGCAAGCCATTAAGATACGTATATTTATTAATTTAGATAAAAAAAGTGGTTAGGTGTTGTTGATAGATCAATTTAAAACTTATACGTACTGATCACCATTAACTGTTACAATGAACGGAGTATGTAATTGAACATAGTATTGACTATTGAGACTTGGGATGTCATTAAATGTCATTATGCAATTGAATGTAATCGAATGACTAAATCACTAAATGTCATTAAATTTGTTTCTACGTTCAAGACTTTGAATTTATTTTATGAGAGTAAAAGTTGACTCTCGAGTGTTTTCGGGAATATTTATCTTGACTCTGAGAAATCATTCAAAAACTAATCAAACGAAAATTAGAAAAAAAAAAAATGCGGTGAGCGTGGATCGAACACGCGACCTTCAGATCTTCAGTCTGACGCTCTCCCAACTGAGCTATCCCCGCAACTTGTTAAGTGTTTGTTAACGTTTAATTAATTACTCAAATACAAGCAATTCCCTAAATTCTCTAATAGAGCATATGCCCGCAAGATACGAGTATACGGCCGAACCCATTAACTTAACAATGGTCCGACCTTCTGCCACATATTTTTTTTATCAAAAAGTCTAATTCATAAGATTTAAATGATTTTAGTTCTATGTTCACAATTTCACAAATAGAGATACAATGAACATTAAGAAAAAAAAACGATTTTACAAAACTTAATGATATGTTAACCATTATTAGTTGTTAATTTTCTCATTAAATTTTTATTTTATAATTTATTATATGATGACTTTTCTACATTATATCCTATACTATTATTTGGGGAGTAAACTTTATAAGATGCCCTTAACTAACCTTCCCTTTTGTAAGAATTTACTTAAGAATGCCATTACAAAAATCTTTTTTAGAACAAATTTCATTCAATTTATTAAGGATAAACAAGTAAAATACTAATTTATGTCATTTAATTAATTTAATTAAATTATAAAACGAAAATCTGTTATTTTTTTTTTAAAATGACCATATAAGATTTGATATCTAACTTACCATATTAATTTGTTATTAATCATTAAACTTCACCTCTCATCTTAATATGATTATATTAATATGAAACAAATAAATCATCATATCATCTACATAATAAAAAAAAAGTAATTTTTTTTCTGCATATGTCAAGATTTGAATTTTTAAAAACGCATATGAATTGTTCAATCTATAAAGGAAACAATTAAACGGGTCAAAAATTTAGTCTTGAGTAATATATATCTTTTACACAAAAATAAAGTCAACCAAAATTTCGACTGAGCAACGGGTCAGAATTTGAATATTTTTATTCGATTTCATACATTTATTTTTTTGAAATGTATAGTTTTATATACTACAATAAAAATTTAAATATTTTAATTTGCCACATTTAAAATAAGTTTTACTTGATATTTTTAGAGAATATCATCAATACTTAATAGTTCAAAAAGTTAAAAATTATAAATATAATATAAATATTTATAATATAAATGTTTATTTTTAAAAATATTTATAATAGGTAGCGGGTTAAATATAATATAATATATGATGAAATGAGTTTTGATCCTTATAACTATTTGAATAGTTATATTTAATTTCATATAATTTGTTTTTTGAAATTCATAATTTTATAAACTACAAAAAAATTTAAAGATTTTAATTTGGAATATTTAAAAATAGTGTAGAATATTTAAATATGGTTTGACACCTCTAAATATTTGAAAATTTGATTCCGCAAGCAAATTTAGAATTAACGAATAATAGATTGTGCACGCAATATTTTAAAATGAAATATTGAGATTCTAAAATAAAAATATAGACTCCACGCACAGGTTGATTTTGGTATTATTATATACTAAATATATGTTTATAACATATTCGATTATGCGAATAATTGGTAAATTCCGTAATTATAAATCTCAAACAAATTCTGTAATTAGATTAGCTCAAACAAATCTCTATTTCAACAACCAAAGAATTATAAATTGAAAAAGAATTTTCTAAATTAATAATAGCTAATTTTCTTAATTAATTCAAAATAATCTATATTTTATATGCGATTCATTTATGATATTTTAATTTTTGATCTAACTGAAATATATGCAATCCTATTTTGTGGTTGTTAACATAAATTAACTCATTGTTCAAAAAATTTTACTTTTTAAAAAATAAAATTATTTTCCGTTATCATATCCTAAAAAAAAAATTATCCACAATTGAGTATTATAGAAAAAATTCAATATTTATTCTAATATTGTATATAGAGACTGACAAAAAAATTAATATTTTTTTACTTACTATTATAATATATTAAAACTTAGTTCTAATATATATATTATATATATTTTGTAATAAATAAAATTCAACCCGTACTTTAGTACGGGTGATGATCTAGTTTTAAGAAAAGGGCTACAAGCCTACAACTCTACGGTCCTGAAAAATCTAGAAACGACCCTAATTGGAGTAACAATGATGATTTCATACCGAGTCATGCAACCACTAAAAAAAGAACCACTAAAAAAAGTAGTGTTGGTAGTACTAGTTATAGTGTAGTGGTTAAAAAACGTGTGAGTCAAGCTATATTGGCCCTATCATGGTCCGAGTCAAATTCTTTTTACAGGCTTCGAAAAGGAAAACCAAAGTCAGCTCTTGCCCACTAAAAAACCAACTTAACCAACCCTGCCACAGTGCCACTGCAAGACCAAAGTTATATTACCTGTCAAACCCATCATCATTATGAATTGGCTATAGCTAAAACCAAACCGGACTGGACCTAGACGTTTAAAATTAAAACTGGAAACGAGTCATCACTCTTCACAACATCTCTAGATGATAGCAACGTTTAGTTACAATTTACAAGTTACACTGAAAAAATCGAAATTGGAATCAGTCCTACCAAAGCAGGTTATAAAACATACAACTTTCTTTACTCGTTAACCAAAAAAATTATAAAAAACATGCAACTTTACCCAAATGTTGAATTTCCACAGAAAAAAGTTTGGACCATTTCAACATAACAAATCCATATAATTAGACAAGAACACAACACCTAAAATTATAGAATTTCTATGGAATACTATGTATGGTTCTCTATCATCCAACTTCATAAAATTTGATTTTGATTCATAGAAGAGAAAAGGAATTTCATTTTTATTTTACACAAAACATAAGAGATTTATCAATCAATTTCTCCATATTAAATTCTATACCATAGATTATATATTGCAAAAACATTACTCTATCTTATTTTTATTAGTACTAAATCTAGAAAAAAAACATTTAAAAATTGACAATTGTCTTCGTAAATTCGTCTGCTTGATCTCACACCTTCTTCTTCCTCGTCTTCTCTATTTCCTCAATCTTTCAATGCCGTGTCGTTGACAATAGCCAAACTTTCGAACAGGTGCGCATGATAATGGAGACGGCGCCGCCGTCCTTGGTCTCTAAAGCTAGAACCGCCTTCAATTCCGCCGCGGCTAAAGCGGAGCGCGTCTTCACTGATCTCAAATCTGATCGAGGTTTTTTTTTTCTATTTCCTCTCTCTATCTCTCTTCCCGTAGCTTCCGCTTCAATTTGACTTGTTTTTTTTTTCTTCCTAATTTTCTCATTTACTAAAATTTGACTGATGAATAAACGCTTATCTCTTGACCTCTGATTTTATCTCTCTTTCTTCGTTTGGATTAATTCGAATTCTATTTTGGGATCTTCTCTCTTTTCAAATTCAAATCTATTTCTTTTCGTTCTGGAGTCAAAATTCAAATCTATTTCGGTGATGTTTATTTGATTTTTTTTTTTTTTTTTTAATTGGAATTTGTTGAAGAGGAGGAGAAGCAATCGACGAGGAATGAGAATGACTCTCAGGTAGGTTCTTTGCACAGAAACAGAATTATGGAATCAATAGATTCGATTTCAGAAAAAAATTCTGAGGAAAATGAATAGAAATAGAGGAATATCAATGATTTGAAAGATTGTACATTTTAAAGGATTTGCATTTTGGTATTGAGAAGTAGTAAGCTAGAACAAAGGTGTGTTTTTGTGGATGATGAGAAGAAAAAAGGAGTTTACTTGAACCATTTTAGAGACTGTTTAGTGTTGTTATATGTGTTGGCAAATTTTCAGCATTTCTTTGGGCTTTCCAAGTTTCATGATGGTGCTTTGTGAGTGTTTGTTGACTGTAGGTACATTTTTTAGTTTCTGCTAATTGGAAATGTTGGTAACAGGAGGAGAATGAAGTGAAGCCTCAGGGGTGGAGAACTGCACATATTAGGAAGAAGCAAGAGTGGCAAAATAAACTGAAATACTTGAGAATTGGGAGGAAAGAAGTTGAAGATCAAGACAAGGTTGAGGATTCAGCCATGGCTGCCCCTTTTTATGACGAGAATTTAATTATTCTTAAAGCGAAACAAGAACAAGAAGCCAAGGTATCATCAATGGTCCACCTTTTCAGATCAGATTTTGTTGCTACGGGCATTGTCAAATGTCAATGAATGTTATTTTGCCTGTAGTCAATATTTTGTTTGCTTCTCTTTGTTAAATGATTGTATTTTCTTTTTTAACGCCAATTCCTAGGCATCTGATGTTGGCTGCTTGGTAGAATCTCTAAATGCCGTTGATGCAAATAGCATTCCTCCGGCATCCATTGTAAAGCAGCTGGCTGCAGCAATCGAGTGAGTCTTGATGCATAAGTTTTAGCACAGTTTAAATCTTTCCTTCTTTCTTTTTCATTTACTTTCTGACGAAAAAGTTTTCAAAAGATTCAATTATACCCACTAAGGTCTGAATTTGTAGTAATCCATGAGGCTGTAGTATATGTGTTCACCGAGTTATGTCTTTTCTGGCTTAAGCATTTTGCAATGTTTCACTCTGCTTTCTCATTATTACCTTATGACTGTTTTTTCAGAGCGGGAAAAAGAGCTAAGACTGTGAAAGACTTTGTTGCATCGTCAGGAAGTTCATCACCAGTGAGGGAGAGGGGAGGCTTGAGCCTCTCTGCAGTGAAATCGCTGGTTCTTGGTGAAAAAGAGGATAAGCTTGGTTTTGATTCAGGAGATGAGGAAAAACTTGTTTCTCTAATAAATGCCTTGTTTAATGTTGGTAGGTTTGCCTTAGACGGAGTAATTTTTCTTCATCAACCTATATTCCAGTTATAGCTATTTATCTTCCCACTGTTTGTAACTTTGGCAAATTATTTTTACAGATAGTGGCTTCCTCAGCAGAACGATTGTCTCTGATTTGGAGTCTCCTACCAACAGACCATCTTTCGCAAAAGATCTTCATGCTGCTCCCCCTAGTAGCTTTGTTGTTAAGCTAGCTGAAGTAATTGGAAGTTTTACAACACCCAGGAGAATGACTTTGTTCTGGTGCAAGGTGGTTGATGAAGTAAGAGTTGTGTTGCAAATTTTGGATTCAAAATGTCCTTCTTCACTTTTCTAGTGAGATAAACATATGAATTAAGATTAGTGGAGAGTTCTCTCTGTTGGTGAATGTCCTTTGATAAGTCACTACAACAAAATGTGAAGTATTGTAGCTCTTTTGATAATTTCTCTCAAATATTCTGCATGTGCAGTTGAGGAGATGTTGGAACGAAGAGAAGCACATACCATGGATACCTCTGGACAATAATCCAGATTTGAAAAGTTGCCTACTGCACCAATGGTTACAGGTTATAAACTGTTGTCTTGCCAGGAAAGCACGCAGCATAGCTGCTTCTGAAGCATTAGATGCGGTAATGAGGCAAGCCAGTTCTGCCAACGAAGAGTCAGACGTTTCAGAAGCAACGGGTTCTCTTTTGTATGCTAAAAGTAACTCCGGGGAACTTATACTCCGCTTGGGCGTTTATCACCAAGTTGAGAACTTAACAATGTTGGAAACTGGCGAACCCGTGTATGCCCCAATAACTCAGGTTCGGAACTTCCGTCGTAGTTGATAAAACTGTACCTACCTTCTCTATCTCTAAAGTCCTAGTGTTTAAATCTTTGTAGGAAGGTCCGCTGTTGACGGAAGATCTTATTAGAGAAACAGAGGAATTAGTACTTCGGACAGGAAGGTCAGTGCCATCTTTTATCTGTTGTAGTTTGATATGAAATTTATATTCCACAGCGATACTTTTCCTAGTGGTTGTGAAAGTTAACCATTCTCTGCTATTAAATTTTGAGTTGGTGATTGAAAGACTAGGAACAGTGTGTTAGATGAAAAATAATAGACGTGTTATCTGGCTGAATAATATATAATTCCATTTCAATAATATTTCAGACATTTTTCAGATATCCAATTATCTTGATAAATTGGATTGTTGTCTTTCTTATGGTTCAGCATGGGGGCTGGATGTTCTCAACTCTTGTCTGACATGCAGGCTTTCAAGGTGATTATCTAAAAATGTATAATGTTATTATTGTTTGGTATATAAGCACTCATATAAAGAAAGAAATTGTAGCTGGTATAAAATTGATTAGATCTGTACCATTCTATCAGGCAGCAAACCCTGGCTGTATTTTGGAAGATTTTGTGAGATGGCACTCTCCACCAGACTGGACTGAAAATGGTAACTTGTCTGGAGATGACTCTTCACCCGTTCGAGGTCAATTAAGTACCCGGATGCAGAAAGAAGGTGCGACCTTTTCTCATATATTTATGTCCCCAGTTTCTCTCTGTGGTTAAACCATAACTGTAATCTTTCAAGTCGTGAGTTCCCAACAAGTCTTCCCAACTTTTTTTTTTTATATTATTAGGTAATTTATGGCGCGAGCTGTGGGAAACAGCTAAACCACTCCCTGCTGTTAAACAAGCGCCTCTCTTCGATGAAGATTTAGCTGTGTAAGTTTCAATAGCATGTCGTCTTAAACGTAGTGAAATCTGTATTTGATCACTCATGGAGATCTTGTCCGTTTCCCATTTTAACTTATAACAGAGAAGGAATCTTGAATTATTTGGAAGACATTCCAGCTGCTGAACTTTTCGAGCAGCTGTTTACTTCGCTAGTAAGTCTTTTCCCATCAAATTGCGTATTTTTCTTTCTGTTAAGCTCTCTATCTGTAAGGTCACCGTACAGCCCGTAACACCTTGTCTAGCAGAAGATTCTTCATTTACTATGCATATTTCCTTACACTCAATTACAGGCACTAATTAGAAATTGCAGTTTGTAAACACTCGCATCCCTAAAATTCATGTCGTAGTATTTTCGCAGAACTAGGTTCTTTGATCTCCAGGAAAATGAAAAATTATAATCTCAAATTCTTTCACTTGCGCTACGTTAAATAGATGTCGTTGATTACACAGCTAAGATTTGAGCTGTAAATAGCACTTTGACGATTAGATTGGTTTAAAAATTTTCAGCTTTCCCTGGGGTTTGTGATGGTGGAGCCAGTTTTAGCCACAAACGATGACTTGTCAAAGCTTTTCTTCGAATGCAAGGACTATGTAGTCGCTATTTGTCAGGGGGGTGCATGGACCGATAAGCTTGATGATCTCTGCCAGGTACTTTACTAGAGCTGTGAACAGATTCAAAAACGTATATACATGCTTGGAAATCTCAAAATAATGATGCAGCTATCACTTTAATAGAGTTAAGAATGTTTTATCAGATGACAATAAGGCCATGTGGATATGAACATCGTGGTCACTAATCATACATTCTAATTGCATTTATTTGTAGAATCGAAAGAGAAACTAAAGATTCGGTTGTTTTATTTGTCTGAATAGGTATACGAGACCGTGGAAACAATGTTATTACGTCCAGAAGAAGTTTTGAGATCAATGAAACAAACAGAGGACTCACCATCAAGTGGGAGCGAAACGAAACGCCGGTTTAAGCGGCTCGGTTTCATCTTTCGTGGTAGTAAAGAACGAAAGCAGACAAGAGTTCCATCAGAAACTGAACCGAAAAGCACCGAACCTAGCCCACGTCAATCGTTCTCTAGTCTTTTTGATGGCAAGTCGTCTCTGTTTGCAAAGAGACCTCCTAGACCTGAAAATGTGACGCTTGTCTGATTTCTTCTTATTTATTTGATTTGTTTCATCTGCTTTTGAGTCATTTCTCAGTTTTTTTTCTTTCTGAGTTTTTAGGTTGTTAAGTTGATCAATTGGTTGGTAACTGTAAAGTTATCTCATTTAAAACATTTCTGAAGGGAAATTTAATATGGTGAAATGGAAATAAATGGAAATGAATAAGATGTGTAAAAGCTTTTTAGAACATGTGTAAAACTGTGAAAGTATTAGTTAGACTAGATGATTATCCACGCTAAGCGTGGGTTTGTTTTGAAAATTGTAAGAAACAATTATGTTGAATGTTCTTATTGCTAATTTATGTTTTTTGTTTGTTTGTTATCTTGTAGTTAATAAAATTAGATTCATCTTATGTAGTTACAATTTTATGGTTACATTTATTTTTGACTCGAAATATCAATTTATACATTTTCATCTATAAATCTGATTATCTATATATCTAAGATCCTAATATTTTTTCATTATCATGACTAAATACAACAACAATATAGGATATTTTGATACAGTGATATATAATTATGTTACTTGTGTGGTTTGAAACTTGTCTAACTTAATTATAAATAAAAAAATTCATTGCTCTATGTACTCTCCTGATCTAGGCTCATGATTAAATACTCGATTGACATAACTAATACAAAATCTGAAGAGTTTTCATATGAAAAGAAGAAAAAGAAAGCAAAAATTAAAGAGTCATTTATCAGCACTTCAGATCTTCTACCATTGTATATAGCCATATAAAATAAATAGTCGTGTCTTGAATTCCTTGGTCTGTCTAACATCTCAAAGACACATTACTTGAAAAAACTTGCATGTCAATGTTACCAACTTACCAGAAGACACAAAAATGATAAGAGAGATGACCATATGATAAGTCGTATATGAACCACAAAACGTAATAATAAGAAAAGACTCAAGGTAAAATTGTTAAACTAATAAGATGTTAGGGAGAAAACAACTAAACTACAACACAAATCTATTTGGAGTCATTAGTGACCATTGATAATAAAATTTTTTAGTAAAATAAGAAGAGTAAAATGAAAGTAGTGCTTGATTTATTAAAATAATTTTATAATTTTCATATTTTGAAGAAATAAGTTAAGAGTAAGATTTATGGAGGATTTCATGCAATAAATAACTTTTCTTTTTTTCTTTTAATTTTGCTAATTTTTTATTTAAATAATGTAAATAATTTTTTTTCAGTGAGCTTGAGTCGACTCAAGTGCATTGATACCAAAAAAAGTTAATAGAAATCTCTCACACCACAATAGATAACGTCATTATCAGTCATCCATACACATCATTGTTTATAAAGAGATTGCCCTAGTGGTAAGTGACAAAAGCTAAAAGAACAAAAGAGCAGACAAAATATATAGTAAAAGGTACTACGAAAATTAGTGAGCGAGCATGTAGCTAGTGATCTCGTGTGATCAGTCCTTCGGGTTGACGTTTCACTCTGGATCTACGAAGACTCCACATCAGCCTGAAGTTCTGGTCGCAGCTGGGCATGGGAGAGCCATTAAGAATCCTCACAACTCGCTCAACTTCCGTACAAATGGTAGGGTCGATAAATCTGTAACATTTCATTAGACCGTCCGCCGGTTACGGATGATTTTCACTGTTAACCTCAAACTAAACAAAGAAAACAGTACATTAGATAGTTTAGTTAGTGATGAGAAATTCCCTATAATCAAAATCAACAAAACAATGTAGTCGGTAATGCAAAATTCTCTATACATCCACGGTAATGGATACAAATATATATGATTTGGAACTAACTAGGATTTTTTTAAGGTGGTTAGCTTCCATAAGAATTTTTTACTAATATATATATTTGCTGATAAGTTGAAGAATTTGGAAACTTAGGCTCCAAATGGTTGACAAAAAATACCAAGTTGAAAGAGTTGAATGAACATTCAACTAAACTTTCACCATTTGAGATGAAAGAGTTGAAAAAAGGATTCAATCCATTCAACTTAAAAACCTGAAAAATTGAACAAATTCTACAGCAAAAATGTTCAACTCATTCAACTACAATTTTGCAGATGAATGGACTGAATGATTTTCAACCCAATATTTTCCAACTTAATATATTCAACTCATTCAACTTAAAACAACCATTTGTATTAGTACTAGGAGCAAAAAAATTTTAAAGTTACATGACCATGAAATGTGAGGAGGATGTAGCTGTAGCTTTCATCCATCAATGGATCCAAGTCATCAATCCATAAAGACTTGATATTGGTATCAATTCCTAGTTTTCCTTCCCATACCTCGTTCATTATAGTTTGATTCTCCTTCTCTATGAGTTTTATCTCCTCTAATTCTGGTTTTAACGCCGTGACACCTCTTTCATTAAAATAATCTTCATGACTTCATTTCTCCCTAGAGAAAAATTGTTCTAAGTTTTATCTTGACACCATCATTAAAATTTTGCTCTTTTAACAAACAAATCTTCAAATGTTCTCAACAATTCTTCTTGTGATTTTTCAAAGATTTTCATAAACTTTATCTCTACCTTTATTGATAGGATTATTTCATATGAATTCCTACAACTATAAATTATTTTTCATACGAAAATGATAAGATTAGTGTCTACGAAATTCCGACCATACTAACAATTATTTTTTTTTTTCCGACCAAACTAATATCCTACAAAATCTTATGTTTTTTTTTTCAATTTTCTACCAAAATTTCTATGAACAACTGTGTCGTAGGATTTTCGAAGAAAATTACCTACCACTTTCTCACGATTATCTTTGGTAAAAAAAATTCTTACCAATTGCCTACAAGTTTAGTTATTTGTCAAAAAATCGTTGGTTTAAGGTAAGAAAAGTTTTCTACCAAATCTTCGTAAGATTTCATTATGTTTTCTAGTAGTGAATTCTAGTAATATACCTCTCCCTTCTTGTGTAAACAGTAGAGGAAATATATAAAGTGTTGGGGAAATAAAAGATAAGTGGTTTAGATAAAATGGAAAAATCGATATTATGATAGAGAGAATATGATTAGATTTGCTTCTCGATAGACATTAGAAAGTTGAAAGTTTTGAAAATTTTGATGGTATTATTTGATTTTTAAAGGGAAAACGAGAAATGAATTTTTTTTTTGACAAACTTCTCCTCGCACATTATCCTCTCGCTCTCACTCTTTTCTTTAATCTAGGGTTTCAACATATTATTTTAGCAAAAACAATAAATCATGGAGAAAACAACTAATTATTATATTGTCTTTTTACTTCATATAATTAAAGATTTATCATCTCTTTAAAATTGGCATAAAATACTTGACTATACTTGTATGTTTATAAGTATACGTTGAGAGATGAGAGTTGTCTCTACGCATGTATTAAGAGCATGTTTGTTTGATACTGTTGTTCGTTTATTTGTTGCATGTTGCAAGTTACATGTAACCAATCATAGAGATTTAGTTGTTAAATTTTTTAGTGATTGTGTTTGAATCCTACGATTAATTTTATTGTAAATGAAAAAATATCATGAGACAAGCAAACAAATAGGTAAACACAATATAAATTCGGTAGATAACTTACAATAAAAAAAACAAAACTCATTCAACTACAACATAAGTTGGAACCTAATCAACGATCACAACTATATGATTTTATTTAAAACATAATTTAAAATAAATATATAATTCTTCTTTAATTTTTAATTATGCAATCTGATTATATAATTTTACCTCTCTTTTTTCCCAGTGTTTAGGATGTGTTAATTTGATCAATTGGTTGGTAACCGTAAATTTGTTTCATTTTTTTTGTTGACAGCAAAATAAAATCTGATGGAAATGGAAATGAATAAGAAGTGAAACTGTGATAGTGACAAAGCTTTCAGCTTTAACGACAGCGTTTTGAGAAACAATTCACTTTGTAATATGGGCTGTTGGGCCTATGGGCTATCTACTGTTATTACAAACGGGCGCTGTTTCGAGAGTTATACTATTACTGAATCCAAATTTAGAAGAGTAATAATAAATCAAAGATCTTATATAATTTTCTTATTATTCGTTTTACTGAAAAAGGAAATAAGACACGTGTAAAATCCTCTGAATTTTCCATATTCTTCGTGACTTGCTCGAGAAAGGTCATATGCTTTTCTCCAGTTCCTCTCTCTATCTCTCTCTCCTCCTTCAATAATTTCTGCAAACCCTAACTTTCGCATTCGGCGCTCAAGTTTCTCTCCACCTCTTCTCGGTTAGATTTCAATTCCTCGATTTTCTCTTGATTTCATTTTCGTTCTTGTTGTTGAAAATCACGAATCTGAGCAATTTTTTTTGGTTTGATTGAAAGCGCTATAATAGCAGGATTTAGGTTTCTGATTTTGATAAAGTGTTGTCGAATATGAACAGATATTCCATTTTCCGATGATTTTTTCATTGTTCGTGTTGCGTTTATGATTACGAGTGTTGAATCTCACCGACAGCTTTTGTTACAGAGATTTGGTGCGATGATGTTGCGTGCTCTTATTAGGAGAGCTTCCTCTAGAGGCTCTTCTTCTGCTTCGGTTAGTGTTTAGATTCGTTACCATTTTGATTTGATATTTTTCCATTTTGATCTCTCTCTCTCACTCTCTCTATCTGTTTCAGGGATTGGGAAAATCATTGCAATCCTCTCGTGTTGCAGCGTCTGCCCAATTTCATTCTGTTTCAGCTACTGAGGTACTTTTTATTCAATGATTCATGTTGTTTCGATTTTGTTTTTGGTTTGGGGACATTTCAGTGGATTCATGTCTATTTATGAACTCAATCCTCTTAGGATGTTTTTAACCAGTTTGATTCTTTATGTTTCTTCCATGAACAAGTTATCTAAGTGTCATTTTGAATTGTACAGACGTTGGTGCCTCGTGGAAGCCATTCTCGTAGCTTCCATCACCGTTCTTGTCCAGGTTATTATTACAACCTTGTTTTTTTTCTGTGATTTGATTTTTGGCTAGTTTCGGCTATTTAACTTGACAATTGTTCTCTTATTTGCAGGGTGTCCAGACTGTTCAAGGTTAGGAAGCTCAGTCTTTTTGTTAATTTCTAGACTATAAGAGTCAAATCTCCCACCATTTTCGTTGAAAGTATTATATTCATGTGTGTAGGACTGTTTTCAACGGTTACCAAGGCACAGCCCTGCAAAGATGGGCCAGGCCCTTTTCATCTGATAGTGGTATGATTGCTCTAGCTGAAACTTTTCCTTTATGTGAAGTTATTTTGGTTTTTTTCCCCAAGTTTTGGAACACAAGTGTCTTCATAACTGCACCATCAATATCTGGATAAAAATGCTAATTGTGTTTCTCATTCTTCTTCTTATGAATCGTGTGGCTGAATTGGATTTGCTCCTTTACTGTTACTGTAACTTGTATTTCTATGCTTTTTAACTCAGTACTTTCTGATATATGTGATTGTAGGGGATGTCGTGGAAGCTGTTGTGCCACACATGGGTGAATCAATCACCGATGGAACCCTAGCCACCTTTCTGAAGAGTATGCTTTTCTTTGCATTATCTTCTTCTTGCTTGTTTCTTTCCGATGCATGTATGTATCTTATATTTCCATTGTATGTGCTTGTTGTGCTTGCAGAACCTGGTGATAGAGTAGAAGCTGATGAGGCTATTGCACAAATTGAAACTGACAAGGTATCAAACAATTTCCTGTTTTATTATCTCTATTCTATTTTTCCAATTAGATGTTGGCCGGTATCTGGTATAGCTTTCCTAATACTCGTTTTGATTCATCTTTGTGCTTTAGGTTACAATAGATATTGCTAGCCCAGCAAGTGGAGTGATCCAAGAGGTAAACTATTTGTGTCATTGAATGTTCCTGTCGTTCTTCTTCTGTGTTCCTATGCCCAATTACTTTGTTCTTTTATGCAGTTTCTAGTCAAGGAAGGAGATACTGTTGAACCGGGAAACAAGGTTGCTAGAATTTCTACATCTGCGGATGCTGTGTCTCATGTTGCACCCTCAGAAAAGACTCCAGAGAAACCTGCTCCCAAGCCTTCTCCTCCTGCTGAGAAGCCCAAAGTTGAAAGTACTAAAGTTGCAGAGAAACCGAAGGCACCATCACCACCACCGCCCAAACAGTCAGCTAAAGAACCGCAGCTTCCTCCTAAGGATAGGGAAAGACGGGTATGAAAACTGTGTCATTTAGTCTTTACTTATATAATACTCCATGTGTTTTCTCTATGAAAGAAGAGCTTTTTACGATCACAAGATTTGATGATATGTCATCTAACATCATTGCAGGTTCCTATGACAAGACTTCGCAAACGGGTGGCAACTAGGCTGAAAGACTCTCAAAACACTTTTGCTTTGCTGACAACTTTCAATGAAGTTGATATGTGAGTTATAGTTGAAAACACATGTTGATATGTTTCTTATCATTTGAAATTCTCTTAGTGCACTAATCATAATTCAACTCTTAGTTCACCAACAAAATTTTCCTTCCTTGTGTAGGACTAATCTGATGAAGCTCCGATCTCAGTACAAGGATGCTTTTTTTGAAAAGCACGGAGTGAAGTTGGGGCTTATGTCTGGTTTCATTAAAGTACGCTAAAAAAAACTGTAAAGTTTCCTGAACTAATTAACATATCAGAACTTAATCAGTTAACTAATCTTGTTTAACTATTTGTATCAGGCTGCTGTTAGTGCCCTCCAGCACCAACCAGTAGTAAATGCAGTTATCGACGGGGACGATATCATTTACAGAGACTACGTGGATATCAGTATCGCTGTTGGTACCTCTAAGGTTTGTTTTCGCAATTCTCTTGATAGAATCCAAACATTTGAGTTATAATATCATCTTGGGCTTTTGTGGTAATATTGATTGATTACTCTTCTCTGTGTATTGTATCCCAGGGTCTTGTGGTTCCAGTCATAAGAGATGCAGACAAGATGAACTTTGCTGACATAGAGAAAACAATAAACGGTCTTGCTAAGAAGGCTAATGAAGGAACCATATCAATCGACGAGATGGCAGGAGGATCATTCACAGTATCAAATGGTGGTGTCTATGGAAGTCTTATAAGCACTCCTATCATCAACCCTCCTCAGGTTCGGTTCAATCCATTCCTCACTATACTAAAAACCAATCTATGGAAGATGTTTTTTTGTTTGTTACTAATGCAGAAAAATCTCTCATATGCAGTCTGCTATTCTTGGAATGCATTCGATTGTGCAACGTCCAATGGTTGTGGGAGGAAGCGTAGTACCGAGGCCAATGATGTATGTCGCGCTGACTTACGATCATAGGCTAATTGATGGAAGAGAGGCTGTCTATTTCTTGCGCCGTATTAAGGATGTTGTGGAAGATCCTCAGAGGCTTCTTCTCGACATATGAGAAAGATCTAAGACAGAAGAGGTCATAAGTTTCTGTCTTTTTACCAGTTTCCGTTCAGGTTCAGGTAAGCCACTACAGATATTGCAATCTGCAAATGATACTTTGAGAAAAAAACGAAACTTTTTTTTGGAGTTTCTTAATAGTTCCAAGAGTTTTTACCGGGCGAGGAAAGCATCGGTGTTTTAATATTCATATATAGTTTGAACAAAATGTTACAATTTTGACTTTTAAAAATAATGCCACTGATATTTATTGGTTAAAAATGATTTCCATTTCCATGGACTTGCGTTGTTCATGATGTGATGCTAAGTATCCGTGTATATATTTCAGAGCTTAACGAGACGAATGAAATGGTTTTTACTTGTTGGGGATAGTCCCAAAGTTACATTTTTAGTATCAGTTTAGCCAATATCATAAACACATAATTACAAATGTGTGTCCTCACATTATTTGTTTACCTGTAATTAGGTTAAAAACTGTTGAGATTTTATCACATTCTTAATGTTATATACCATGACTGAAATTTGATCTCACGCTAAATAGTTATGGATGTTTTCGATATGAATCCAAAGAGATCTACACGACTACACTTATAGTATTAAAGCGAGCTACACATCATATATATTTTTGATTATACTAGAATAGATTGATCTCGTTTTATGTTGCTAAATCTTTTGTACTAAGTATTGAAAATTTGAAATCTTAAAAATGATAAGTGAACGTGTATACCATTCATGATTTTAAAATTATAGATACTTAAATATACAAACGATTCTAACGTTTTTTTTGTTGTTGTTGTTGTTGTTGAAACAAATATTACAACAGAAGAAGCCCAAAAACATAAAGAAAGTAAGACGGTCCAAATAGAAAGCCTACAAATAGAAGGCCTACAATAACATAACCGATCCTTAAGTTTCCAGGAATATATTAACATGCAAAGAAAAGTACCAATTTTATTTGTTAAAAGGGAAAGAAAAATACCATTTATAAGTGCACAAAAAAAAAAAAAAAAAAAAATACCATTTATAAAATATAGTCACAATCTCATTCTTACATGTCCATGCAATTACAAATGTAAAAACATTAGATTCCTCATGAACATTACTCAATCATCACCAAAAAGGTAGATAATTTTGTCTCATAAACCACGCATTTCTTTTATTACACACGACTCAAAGCTAAAAACGACAATCAAATATTAAACGATTACTCAATCGATAAGGTTTTCAATACAAACGATATCCTCCTCATCAGGGAGTGGCTGAGTTCTCGCCTCTACGAGCTCAGCTTCAATCCTGCAAATACACAACAAAAAGAAAGATTAATCAAAAGAGCAAACAAAACAAAAACTTTCTCATGATAAAAACATTTCAAGTTTAGCTTCATACTCAACAGTTGCAGACAATCAACATCAATGTCATCAATGTACGGTTCTGGTGGAGCAAGAGCTGGTGACTCCACAAAGGATAGTTTTGCGTCTCCAGCAAGTCTTCTAGCAAGATACAAAAAGGGTTTCTCAAAATTGCAATTGTTCTTCGAAGACATCTCATAGTACTGCAGACCCTTCTTCCTATGGAACGATACATGCTTCGGCTTGATTTGTCTACTCGGCACATCAACTTTGTTACCACACAGAACAATCGGAATGTTCTTGCACACCCTGTATAATTAATATCCAAATCCCACATTATGAGTATTTCATGTTTCAAAATATAGACGCAATTATACAAAAATAAAACAAAAAATCACAAAATAATAATTTCTTGTACCTGCGGAGATCACGGTACCATGTATCAACGTTCATGTATGTGTTCCGTGCTGTGACATCAAACATGATTATCGCACATTGACCATGGATGCTGCAATAAAAATAAATAAATGTTAGCTATTATAAACTGACCAAGACCGAATCAAGATCGATCGACCAAAATTACAAGCAGGGAAATATCGTAAATATTTGTCAAGACCACTTACTAGTATGCATCCTTTAGACCACTATACTTCTCTTGTCCAGCAGTATCCCAGCATTCAAAACGGATCTTACCGCGGTTAGTGATGAAATCTAAAGGATAAACATCCACACCAACAGTAGCTACAAAGTCCAAAATTTTGATAATTAACATCACAATCCTGCATAGATCATGACCTAGGCATTGTTTGTTGCATTGACGATCAATCTATATAAACACTTACGTTCATGATTCTGCTCAAATTCCCCAGTCAGATGTCTCTTCAAAAAGGTGGTTTTTCCTGAGCCTCCATCACCAACAATGAGAAGCTTGAAGGTTGGACAATCGACGTTTTGTTGGTTAGATAAAGCCTGAAACAAACAAGATATACACAACGAATTTAGCCAAGAAAGAAAAGACAACAAAGAAACAAACAAAGGGAAGAGCATTTTACCATCTTTTAGGAAGCACGAGAGAAAGAAAGAGTAAAATCTAAGATGATTTGATGTGATGTGGAGGTGTAAGGGGGATTTTTCTTGCATATAAATACTAAGTGATTACCCGCGCTATTTTTAGACGAAAGTTTTGTTTTAAATTATTTCTGTTTATAATATTCATAAATTTAATTATAAGAAGATATATTTGGTGTCTTAAACATTATAATGCCTAAAACAATAATGTAAAGAGATATCTTCTATATTTATTTCCCATGCTATTTTTAGGCGAAAGTTTGCTTAAATTATATATGTTCATAACATAAATAAATTTGGCCACAACATTAATAAGGAGATAGTCTTGGTGTTTTAAACATTAAATAATGATTAAAACAATAATGTGATTTTAAAATTTAACCATATTTGATTATGCGATTTTTTAATGATATATGTTAAAATATCTATGTTTTTTTCAAAAATTCAATGTGTTGCAAGTATTAGATTAGAGAGTGACACATGACAGAATTATAATTTATTTATTTATGATATGTGTCAATGTTGTTTTTATATTTTTAGTATAAATATTTTGGAAAAAACAAACAATTATTTATTGAAACAGTTATAAAATGATATTTTTTACTATATTAAATGTATTGAGGAAAACAATTTTTTCAAAATTTTCTTTGGCTAAAATTGAATGAAAACTTGGAAATCTATAAATTTAATGATAATCAGAAAACATTAAAAGGAAATACATATATATAGATTATGAATACATGTAATATAAAAATGCCTATTAATGCTATACACCCAAAAAAGATAACTTAATCCATTATATGAAACACTGTCGTTTAGGTAGTTAAACTGGAAGATGCTTGTTGAAAGGGCTTATAAATGGGCCTAGATAGTTTGGCCCAATATTACATAATAGTTTCAGGTGAAAAAATGTTTATAGGTAATAATTGGTGGTGGTGGATGGGATGTGCTGCCTGCACAATGTTTTGGTAATTGATTGTTGGAGGAAGAAAATGTTATAAAGATTCTTTGATTTTTTATATTTGATTTATATGAGATGCTTCTATGAAAACGTTAACAGTGTGATTATTAATTATATATATAAAAATCAGTTAGGTATCTTGATAAAAAAAATGTTATGAACTAAATACACCATACACACAAGAACATAACAACTATAAATATTAAATATGTAGCTATAGGTTTCGTTAGAAAGAAAATTTGGTCATTCTCTTTTGGCAGTATTAACTTTTGTTCATAAACTAATATGTTAAATGGGATTAGAAGTGAAATGGATAAGGGTTTAGGGTTACACACCTACTTATGCAATCCAAGTGGAATACATGAAAGATGAGCAAAACTATTTTTTTCAAAAAGGTGACTAAAGAGGATTTGTATGGTGTAGTGAGTGTGTGTGCCAACGACAACACTTCCACCTTTTCTATAGTCAACCTTTTTAATTCTATATAAAAAAAATCATTTACAATGGCTCTAAATATTCTGGAAAAAAATTAATTAAGTGTTGAAAATTAGGGGATAATTCTTCGTTTGAAATTCTTGTAGTAATAAATCCATATTGCCCAAGAGCATCTTCTCTTGATTCACTCAGAAATGACTATCTTTAGCTGGTAATTTTGGTTCTTGTATGATAATTATGTCAGTTTGTCGAATTATGACAATATATGTACGTAACTTATGACTGATAAACTTGTTTTAATTTCTTGTACTAATTAACGGTTGTGTTACCGAACCTTTTTTTATCTTGAAAAAATTGATATGTTTTTGACTCTTTTTTTTCTTATCTATAAATAAGATGTTTTGACTTTGATACATGAGGTCATTTTGACATCTACTTAGAGTCATCGTTCATCACCGATTCACCATCAACCATTTGGACATAAAGTGGGACACTTAAACCTACTTTTCTCTAGATAGTTTATTTGCTTTGTACGGAGTAATTAAGATATCATTCTTATAGTTTGGCATCAAATGTGTGATAACTTCAATTATCTCTTTAATTCAGTATTTTAATGACAAAAAAATTTCAATCGAAATTGTGTTGAACTTTCAGACTAACTTTAAATCGATACCTCGATCTTCTAGCATCATGTTAACCGGTCTGATTATTAAATGAAAATGTTATAACATGGAAAACAAGTTTGATTAAAGAATACGTTATAAAACAACAAACTACTTTTCTAAACTTAGAAACGAATGCAGAAAGAAAACTCGAAATTGGGACGACTTCGATTATTAATTAGTACTAATTAATAAAGGCATCGACCTAGAGAACTGAGATGAAAGTCAACGTGCATGAACTTGGTCTAGAAATACCAAACTTTGCTTAGTGTATAGAAAGTAAACGCCAACTTTAGTTATAGAACCCAAAAAAGTCTTATGCTTTCACATTTGAATGAAACTCCTTTGTGGGTTTGGTAAACACAAAAATAATATTTAAACAAAGAGAATATCTATACTATTAATTGGGAATCATTCTAACTTAAATAACCTTATAAAGTGTAAGATATTACAAAGATTGCCATTAGTTTTTAGTGTTTTTAAATAACTTCATTAAGGGTACAATAGTAACCACAAAATTAATATATTTAAATTAAAAATAGTTTAATTCTTTTAAATAATTATTAATTTCCAAAAAATTAAACTAATTTTTTCTCTCCTATTAATTATAAACGAAAAATTTGAAATTAATTTTTAAAAAATTGTTAGCCAATGAGAATTGAAAAACTAAGATTTGATATCCAACTAAGATTTTATCTAAACCAATCGTAATAGACTATTCTATATCAAAATAAAAAGAAAAATAATATCATTTTAATTCAAAATTAAAAACACTATCGTTTAAAAGATTTATCAATGGAGGACTTTAAGATTGAATTTAAAATTTCATAAGAAAATTAAATACAAATATTTAAGATTCAGTTTTGTTATAATATTTTCACAAATTTTAAAATATAAAATAAAATTTTATTTCACAATTTCTAAAATACGATATTAGATATTAACAACTATTTATATTTACTATGAAATAAACTCAAATAATAATAAATTTAAAGTAATTATCATTATAGCCTTCGTTTAGAGCAAGTTTGATAAATATCTAAACAATAGATTGTATATATTACAAATTTTTAGATTATTTTTATGCTATTTTTAGTCTAAACAGCAAATTATCTAGATTGTATATATTTCAAATTTTTATTTTTAGTCCAAAAATCAAATTAATTATGATTAAACAATAAAAAGAAGAATATGCAAAATTTAGCTAAGGAAAGAAACATTAATAAATTTGTTAAAATATATTTGTAACTTTAACAGCATATATATTAATCTGCAAAACTCACAGTATGTATTGTATGGTATTTAAAAGTAAGCAAACAAGAATTTGGAACATGATTTTAATGGAATGAAATGAGAATAGGAATTACGAGACGGGATAGGAGGGGAACATAAATTAAAAATCAAACTAAATACCCAACTGGTATGAGTTCGGGTTATGAGCACTATATAAAATAAATTTGTTTACATACTGTACGTACGTTTTCAGTTACACATATTCTATTTATGCCGGATACTGGACCGTCATATTTTTTATTTCACGTATACGATACGGGTTATGGGACTAAGAATTTATGACATATACAAGACGGGATAGGTTTCCCGTTCCAAAATAGTTACGCCTAGCTAATATACATGAAATAACCAAACTCAAACCGAATTTATATCCTATTTAACACATGTAATCAAACTATTAGAAATGTTTTGATTAGTTTAAAAAATAAAAAAGTAACATCATTTAACTTTTGCAACTAAATTATATCTTAGTTTTATCTTAAATATAATTTCGCACGTACGTGTAGGTCAGGATCTTAAAATATAATTATGCACTAACGCAACTGAATTTCGTTCATTACTCTAATTTTATAATATTTATACTATTATAAAGTTCACTAACACAACAAAATATTTTATATTTTTAAAATCTATATAACAATTTCTATAAAAATATCTCTACACGTAGGTGTGAATCCAGATCTAATACACTAAAATATATATCATAGAAACAACGAAATAATCTATATTGAATTAAAATTTGTTAGAATTTTTAAAAAAATATGAAACCCCACACGTATGTGCGGGTCAAGATCTAGTAATAGATAAATGTTAGACCAAACTAAAATAATTGGACTTCGTATAAAGTCAATCTTATGATGTAGAGTGGTTTCCGTACTTAACTTCCTTACCAAAAACACATATCAACCGACGACGACGACTTTCCCCTACTTACCACCTTTCAAAGTTAACTACCTCAAGATTACAAGTAAATGATCATATAGCAAACCTCAGAAGTTGTACTAATTAGTGGGAACTTACAAAGTATCTAATACCTAATAAATTACAAAGTTCCATTTTGATGTTCTATAAGCTCCAAGGATTAGTCTTGGTTCGGTCCATGATACTTTTGTTATAACTTCTTTTTCTTTTTAAGATTTTGTAAAACATTCCGGTATACATGTAAAACTTTAAAACCAAATTTATAATTAGCATCATGAAATGATCATGATCATAGTTGACGTTGTTATTTACAGAATGTACTTAATTGACTATGTAAGGAGAGCTCAATGTGAATGTGTAGCAAATTATGCGACAAATGAGTAGTGAATAACCGATGCCGATGACTAGTCATCATTGATGACATAATCGTCTACTATTTGTCAACAAGTACTATCGTCAAACCTTAGAATAGATCACCCAAAAATGGGTACATAGAAGTATAGAACATTTTTTCTCAATACTTTAAAAATTGAACTATATCATTTGTTGCTCTGTAGAATAATCGTCACTATACTTTCCGGTGTAATTATCAAAACGGCGCCGAATCGATTGCAATTAGTAATCTCAAAACAAGAACTTGAAATGTGGCTAAAGAAACGAATTTTCTTATTATTATCATCATTTTTTAGTACAACAAAACCATCTTCAAGATGATCATAATATAGAATTATAACTTCATCAAAGATGTTATTATAAGAGTAAAAATAATTAATGTTGTCCTCAGGGGAATATTCCAAGAACAAGCTGTCTTGTTGATCCAAGATCCAATTCTCAAATCCTCCCACTTCTTCTTCCTCCTCCAATGACGTTGCTTCAACGCAATTCTCATCTTCTTCCTCGTTACGTTTCTCTATCTCTCCCCTTACTTCAATCCAACCGTTCGTTTCCCACTCTAGTTCACCGGAATTCTCATCTCCGGCGAGTTTCTTGATCCGATCACCTGGTAAAGAATCACCCCATAAGAAATTTGTAGACTTTGCAAATGGGTCTTCGTGATCCTCTTTAATGAATCGACTTCTCGAAGTTTCACATAAATCCCAAAAACCTTGATCCAACACAGTACTTGGAGATGAAGAATTCAGACAATTACGAGCTTCTTCGTCGTCTTCATCATCAAGAAACGGATGTTGAAGCAATTCTTGAACACTCCATCTCTGTTTTGAATCTTTTCTCAAACATTTCTTCAAAAAGTCTTTACCTTTATCCGATAACCAAACCGGAATCTCCGGCGACTCACCGGTGAAACCAATCTTATAAATCGCAGCAACGACGTCGTTTAACTCCGGCCAAGGACTTGACCCTGTAGCCATCTCTATCACCAAACACCCCAAAGCCCAAACATCAGCTGGAAAACTCTGTTCTTCACCACGTGCCACTTCCGGCGACATAAACGCCGGTGTACCGGAAAATTCCAAATTCTCATTCTCTTCCACCGTTTTAGCACAGCCCAAATCGACGATCTTTGCAATCTCTCCTCCGATCATCACATTCTGACTCTTTAAATCGCAATGAACAATACCTTGATCATGAAGATACATCAAACCTTTCAAAATCTGACGCGTGTAGGATCTAATCACCGGCTCCGGTAACTTCCCGCCGGAATTCTTGATCAAATCGTGAATACTCCCGCCGGAAACATACTCCATCAAGAGATTATACATCAATATGTCGTTCTCCGTCGTTACATTAAAACCAATGTACTTAACTATGTAAGGAGAGCTCAAATTCGACAAAATCGATTGTTCTCTCTGCAAAAACGCCGATGAAGAAAACTCGGCGGATTTAACGGCGAAGAAGTCACCGGAATTTGTGATTGCAAGTGAGACAGTAGCTGTTGAGCCTCGTCCTATGATTGGTCCTCTTATCCAGTTCAGTTCCTCCATTGAAACAGAGCAAGAACAAAACAGAGGAAATGAAAAAAAACAGAGGAGATAGATAGATAGAGAAAGAAACGAACTTGTAGAGAGAAAGAGAGAGAGAGGTTTAAAATGTTAAGTAAAGACTTGTGATGATGTGATTATTTATATATACACACACTTTCTCACAGAAACTAAATGTGTATGTATATGACTTTGGCATGGGGTTTTGGTGGTCTTAATTCAAAGTCTGAACACAGAGAGATGACATTCTTTTTTCTTTTTATTTTTATTCTAATCTTTTTTCTTCTCCTCCAATTATTAAGCACCAAAACTTTACCTTATCTTCCACTTTTTAATTTTAGATTATTGCTTTCTTAGATCTAATACAGCCGTTTAAGTTCGAATTTCAAAATGCGAGTCGTTAAAAGAACTATAAGATAAAATATGACTTGAGTCAGTCACTTGATCATTGGTAAGTTCTTCCATTTAAAAAATTAAAGAACCATGACTTAATCATGATCTTGATTATTTTAGCATATATATATAAAAGAAGGTAATGGTATCATACATACGATTTTTTCAAAATTTTAACGTTCCGAATTATTCATAAAATTATTTTATTACATGTACTTAATTGATAATAAGATCAAAACAGTGAAAAATATATATTCATTAGTTATTTATGTTCACGTCAAAGACAACTTACCAAGCGATGTTAAACTGTTTTTGGTTGGTAGAATGGCACATAATTCAGCAGAAAAGTACACAATGAAAAATATTTTTAGAGATGGATAATTGCCCATCAAAGTTTCAATCAATAATTATCCATCAGATATACCATTCTATAAACATAATTTCTACGAATGAAAAGTTTGTGATAAGAACTTATGATTGGTAAGTTTGATAAATATGGTATTATCAAAAGAAAAGAAAAAAAAAACAACAACAACATGGATCCTTATTTAAGATGTGATGTATGCATATACTCTTGAGAATTACTAGTATCGTTGTTCTTCTATAATTTTTTAGTATCTAACCAAACCAAAAATAATGCTGAAATATAACCCAAAGTTATAATGTATTATGTATATATATAATGTATACGTAGATGATAAAATACACAAAATTTGGTAGAGAGCTCTAACTTTTTTGTGGCCCTTTTTATTTATTATTTCTCAAACATTTTGTGTGGCAGAGCCAATTTGGGATGCGTCTTGTGTGAATCTGGACACGTGGCGGAAAAACATTGGAAGATGACAGCTTTGCGGCATGACGCCAGGGTGGACGGCGCCGTAACTTCAATCCACCAATAAGAGTAAAACAAAAGCGCAACTAAATTTAAGAAAAGAAAAAAGTTAACTAATATGTGGCCACGTGGCGGAACCACAAGCTAAGTGCGGGATTAGCGTGGGTATTAATCTATTGTTAGCAAAAATTCTAGTTAAATGCTGGGGCATTTTATCCATGTACTAATTTTTTTTCTATTCCAAACAACAAAATTGAAACTCAAATAAAATTTAGAAAGTATCGTTAATATTTTTTGAGTTTTAGTTGCTGTCTTAAAGTTAAATGGTGGTCAATAACAGTGTGAAAACACTGAAATGTGAATGTGGAGCTTTATTATGTGAAATGTCTTTAATTGGAATGCAAGCTTGGGGTTATGTATAAGAAGATTCTATAGCCAAAAGAGGTTTTAAAGAGAAAGAAGAAGGTGTTGGGGAAATTTATTCGCATCTCTACTTTGCTTAGAGAATACAGTTGGATTCAGATTGTTCTTTATTTTAACTTTCTAGATTGAAATTGATTATTTGAATCTAGTTAGAGATCTTTCTATTAAATAATTGGGATTTTTTTTTTTTGTCTTTGGCTTTTGGGTGATGGACGGCTACTAAAACAAACGCAGCTTCATACATGTGATTGGGATCTAAAGGAAAAGGTTTTGAAAGCGTGAAGTTAAAAAGTGAGAAGTAAAATCACGCCATGTTTTAATAACGTTTTTAAAAAGGTTTCTTCAAGAGACGTTTGTTTATACACATATTCTGCTTCCACTTCTATTATTAGTTTGGTACATGTTTTTTCCGTTGCAAGTTGTTTGGAAACGTAAAAAGGCATAGAAAGACAAAGAAGAAGAAAGAAAGAGAGATTTCAAAATATTAGGAATTTGGCGAAACTAATACTACGTACGTCAGTAGCAAATTTATAATTTTACGCTAAATGTTAAGTAAAAAAATCGATTATCAGAACAAACCATTATTGCAAACGTTATATTGACTCTTGCCTTTTCTTAATTACGTTAGCTATTATCCAAAAAATGTTATGTGTGCACACTTATTTATAAAATTTTAGCAGAACTGAACTTTTTAAGTATTCATGATGCAAATAAAGTGTGAAAACAAGTTTATTCCATTTTGTTGGAATATACTTGTTGTGACATTGTTTTTTCTAGAATTCTTTTGTTAATTTTACTCTGATTTGCTTCACAAAGAAAACCACTCGATATAACTATTTTAGACATCTTTCTTTTCGATTGATTTGACGGAAAACCCTGAATACAAATATTCTTTAGCACTTATAAGAAGATGAGAACTATATAAAAAGGGTCGGCGCTCGGCGGCGTTGTGATTCTCAGAAAAATAAATACAGAAAAAAAACAGAAAATAAAGAGTTTACAATAGAAAAAGAAAGATACATCCAACAAAGCAACAACCAATGAAATTCAAGAACATAAAATATACAAGTTTAAAAAGATAGATTCGAACCCAAAAAGAAGTTTTTTTATATAAAATTATTGCCTTTTCAATCGAGAAGAGAGGCTAAGTAAGGTTCAATAAGGGTAAGCTTTAAGTAAATGCACTATGACATTGACAAACAATTTTCTTTGTAGAGTTTCTTTCTTACGTCAACAAAAGTAAAAAACTCACTCTTAACTTCACCCCTACTTCCAAGTATCTCAAAAGCCGATTTTTTTTTTTTTACATAAAAGTCAGATTTGCACTGAACATTATCGTTGATGATAACTCCAACGGCACTATTCCAGCAGTTAATATACCTCATACACCTAACGTGAAAATGATATTTATTTAAAATTTCTTTTAAAAACAATGTAATGAAGAATGGCTCATATCTTTGTTTACCTGATTAACAAATGCACAAAAGCTTTATAATATGTCTTTTTTCAAAGTAATTTCGTGATTTGTTTGTGAAATACATTTAGTTTTCCAACTTTTAAAAACAATTAAAATTTAGTTTTACAACTTTTCTTCTGTAGGGACGGGACTGAAACATCTGTTTTATGAATGTCCTTTATGCTTTAGATACTCACCGACCATCTCCCCTGAAAACCGAACAAACCCGATAATCGATCAGACCCAATCATTGACATTGTCAACTTAATACTAGTAGACACCGAAATGGAACTAGAAAGTCTTTAAGAGTCGTACAATTAAAAGAAACTTACAAGGTATCAGCTAACATGGCACGGATTTTGGCTCTTAGCTCATCTGAAACATGAGTTGGTTCGTTTTGCGGGTACTGGATGTTATCTTCAGGAGAAGCTTTAAGATCAGACTGATCTGACTTTGAAACAGACTCCTCTTCCAGTGTTTTCTCATCTTTTTTTATACGTTTACTAGACTTGTGTCGATGACCATGCTCAACGTCTGAAGAGTCCTCGTGCTTGCGTCTACTGGATCTGTGTCGGTGGTGATGATGTTCATCATCAGATGAATCACGATGCCTATCATGCTTCCTGGATCTGTGATGATGGCTATGCTTGTCCCTAGAATAATCAACATCTTTGCTATGCTTACTAGATCTGTGTCGGTGCTCATCCTCGTTATCAGAAGAATCATATAGCTCATGCCTATCTGAAGATTTGCTGTGTCTGTGTCTATGACGCGAACGACTGTGATACTCATCATCTGAGGAGCTCTCATGCTTGTGCTTGTCCCGAGAATGTCTGTCCTTGGAAGAGTATTGTGTCTTATGTTTATGCCTATTATGCCGTTTTCTACTAGATGAATGCTTCTTATCAGTCTTGGTTTCTTCTGTAACTTCATCCATGCTGCTCTCTTCCTCTTCTCCTTCTTCTTGTTCCATCTTAACGTCTTCATCTCTCTGTGATCTCAAACGGTAATTCCTCTTTGATCGTCTTTCACTGTTACCATCATCTGCTAGTTTTGTCTCAGCTACGGATGGAATCGAGCTACTGTCTCTTTCTTTGGCAGCATTAGCACCTAATCCAGAAATCCCAGAGTCCAACGGTTCGACTGATATGCTTCGCGACGGTTCAGCTTGTTGCACAGGCTCCGCATCGGGTTTTAACATGGCCACAAACATTTTTGCACGTTTCAATCTTTCTGCCTTCAACTTCTGCTCCTTACACAAGCCTGCTTCAGAAGAATCAGTTTCACTAGCAGCAGCCGAGCCAGAGAGCAAACCTGTAGATTTGGCCAAATCAGGGGACTTAGATGATGGGTAACTTCCATCATTTCCAAGGCTCTGAGAAGTCTCATCCATGGGTTTGCCTGATAGAATCCCCAACTGGGGATTCCTTATGCCTCTTCTAGCCGCCTGAAGAATAGCAGCAGCAGTATTCGCATCCACATTGACCCTTATCTGTGGTTGGACAGGCTTGAATGGTTCGGTGTGCAACTCGACCTTTGGTTTGTCACTAACAATTTTCAGTTTCTCTTTCTTGGCAGAATCATCTGGTAAAATACTCCCAAACGCATGTTTGCCATCTTTTACAGCATTGCCCATCTTCTTTTGCTTCAAGTCTTCCTTTCTGGTAATGACTCCTTTGTCACAGGATTTTAACTGCATATGAAATCAACCAAAGTGTTACATTATTAGTGAAAGTTACAATCACAAGGCTTAAAAAGCACATGAAAACAACACCAAAATTTGTAGCAGGAACATTTAGGAGCTTGAAATAGAATTACCTCTTCGGCTTCTTGGAGAACCTTCCGATAATATGCATGGTATACGCTAGCTGGACGTAAGAATGGAAACATCCCGTTTTTCACATCCTGTGCAACAAGAGTAGCCTCTAGTTCTTTCCCGTTCTTTTGGATGAAGTCTACTATCTTATCAATCACTCTTTTCATTTCAGTAGTCGGCTCCACAATCTGCAGTTCAAGCTTGGGTTGTGCCAGCATTGCAGAAGAATGCGACTTATCAGACGTCAAAGGTCTTTCTGTAGCAGTATATTCTGTATTGATCTGCTTCCTTCCTACAACATTTACTGCGCTCACAGAAGGATTTCTTTTTATGAAAGAAGACTGATCATTCAACGGCAGAGAATGCTTGGAGGCTGCATCTCTCTCTGTGGCAATCTTTGCAGCTCCTTCCGAATCTTCAGGTCCATTGGAATCAGAAACCTTAACACTATCATCGCGTTGGGCAGACTCGTTTGTTTTAGAGTCATTTGCAGACTCTTCGTTAGCATCTTCATCTTCTACAGTCCCATAAACCGAACCAAGCAATGACAAAGCTCCACCATCCTTCTCACTTTCATTCTTTTTCTCTTCTACAGAAGACTTTCCCGTCAAAAGCTCTTGATGGTCAACAAGAAACCTAAAGTAAGGGTGAAGATGATGGTCTGGCATCAAGAACCCAAATGTTGGGTTGCCTCCTTGTTTGACTCTCAAGACGATTTCAGTTTGCCCACCATGTTTGCTAACAAAGCTTGAAGTTCTAGTGATGATCTGATGTAGCTTCTCAGTTGGAGGCTGAAAGAAGGGAAATAAAAATGTACAAGAAAAAAAATTAGTAATATGAAATATGATGAATGAACCTTTGGCAACTCGCAGGTATATACATAACAAAACCTCACATAAGTATCGAGAACCATAAATTGCAAATATCAGAACTGTATAAGAAATGCATCATCTGATGTGCAATCAGTTTTAAGGATCTTGTTAAGTCATGAATTTCTATCATCTTAATCCCACCTGCACCGCCCCTTGTCATGGCAGCAAAAGGAAACAAGGTGCATGTGAATGACAACTCCATCTCTTCTCCGAGCATCTGAAACTTAGACATGGTAGTCCTTAGAATAACATATGCACCTTTCAGATGTTTACATGGCCATTATCAGTTTAAGTACCAAATAAGTGAGCAAAACTAGCATACTGCTAAAGGGAACCATCTAAAGCAGTAACTTACCAGGTTTTGAAGTAAATAATCAGGCACGGGGAAAGGCGGCTGAAATCCAGATTCCATATCAGCATCTTTCTGGCCACTGACATCACTGGAGCTTCCGTATGCAAAGGGAACAGCGCGATAACCATCGCCATTTGTATTTGCTGAAACATCATTCATATCTGGAGAGTAAAGCAAATCCAAAGGGCAAACAAATTAAGATTCGACCTGAATTTTTCGTAATCATTCTCTACAACAGTTTTATGTCTCTAACATAGCAAGTTCGAGTCTCTCTACCAACTAGATAATCTATAGATTAACGGAGATTTCTACGAAGTTCCTCATCCTTACCGTTCTCATCATCCGAAGGAGATGGAGATTCCGACGGCAAATCAAGATAACGCTCGTGATCGAGCTCCGATTCCAAGTCAGCATCGTTTGAATTCGGAAGACGGCGTTTGATACGTGGAGGAGGAGGAGAAGAGAGGAGATGACGAACATCGTAGCGGTCAATAAAGAGGCTGTTCCAGTCAACGAGCGCCGTCGGAGAGTTGACAAACGTTGCCATCGAATCGTCGTCGAAAAAAAGAGCGTGACGACCAACAATCTCCAGATCCATTGTGTGATAGCAATGGAGATTTGGGGTTTGGGGAAGAGCCTAGGGTCTGTGAAAATCGGATGTTTCAAATTCGGGATTGACCCCAAGGAGATAGATTCGTGATGACTTCAAAAGAGATCTGGTCGTTAAAATGACGTCGTTTTAATGACTTATTAATTGCCGTTTCAGAAGGAATAAAACGACACATGCAGTCGGGAGAAGAATACAAAACGACGTGCATTCTTTCAGATAAGCAAACAAAGAAAAGAAGTCAATGACTAGTCTTTTTTGTTTTTGCGTTTTCGACCCCATACTAAATAAAGTGTATATTTTTGCCCCATAATCTTTACTTTAATAAAAGTAGTGAAATCTCCAAATTTAAAATGATTCAACATCTCTAGTATATGCCTAGCCTTGATGTCACGGTTATCAGCATTGAGTTTTACTTTGATGAAAACATTATGAGCTCTTTTTTTTTGTGTGTAACTTATGAGCTCCCTTTTCTGGTCAGAGCTTTCGAGTTGTATCTCCTCATGAATCATGATACAATGGCTAAGTGATTTCAGGTTCTCTCTATAAATTTTTGTAATTTTCATACGTCTATCTAACTTATGTTTGAACGACTTATATGGCACATTGTTTTCACGAGTTTCAACAGCAAATACTCTGTAGATTTTATAATAATAATCAAAGTTGTTAATGTAAAATGACTTTGCGTGTGGCTTAATAGTTAATGCAACAGAAAGATATCTTAGAGAAACAATAGATTATCGTATATGTCGGAAAATGACCCAATACAAGGGAATCGTACGTGTTGACTTTTGTGACGTAAAGTTTATACATTGTTTAACAAATTGGAGGAAAGCGTTGACCTCCCTCCATGGCTTTCTTGAGCACCGAATCTAATATTTGTGCCTTGTGGACGCCTTTGACCGGTTTATTCAAGAATATTCTTCGATAGTTCCCTCATCGAATGCATAGAGCTATATATATATATTAGTATAAGCTACTATGGGGACATTCAAATTTTAAATGATTGTTTCAAAAACTTAATCTTAATTGTATATTTATGCAAAAACATACACTTAACAAACCATGTTGTATTAGTTTAATGGTTATCATCGTACTAATGGACATCATAAATCGGATTCCACTACGCATATATTTATATCAGGAATCATGGGTTTGTAACTTAGAATAAAGTGGAAAGATCTATATACCTTGTATTACTTTAGAATTATTTTCATTTGTAATGTGAGATTTTCATTTTGTATTACGTGTTTCATAGGATGAGAATAAAACAAATTCATCATTTCGGAAATATATCACTACAAAATGGACTATTTATAATATGAGAGATCATTTATCGGGTTAACTTCGAACTATGGTACCATATCAGAAGATTATAGCTAGATAGAACAAAAAAAGAATTGAAGCTCCATGGAAAAGACTAAAGAGAATGGAATTGAGCTTGAGCGAGGAAGAAATTTTTTCTGAAATGAAAAGTTTTATATGTTACGCCACGTAATGATTTGTATTGTATACATAGATTATAGGCAACTTTTAAATATCTGCTACTATTTACACTGAACCATTTTTAATTATCTTATAGTTTGTTCACTGCATTTTGAAATTGGAACTCCTTTTTTTATAAGAAGGTAAATATCATTAAAATGAGAGTTTAGGCTTTACGAGTTAAATTAACCTAAAACACATTTCTTAAAGCTAAATGGTCCCATGCCAAAAAAGTATCGAGAAATTGGAACTCTTACTAAATGTTTTAATTTTATTAGCCTAGTAATATAATCTTGTAGAGATCGACTAATCTAAATTTTGATTTAAGATCTTTTATGTAAGATATTGTCTGATATATATGAACAGAAGGCTGATAGTGACGAAGAGAGGAACTTAGCCTTACAAAGTTCCCTCATGTGTTTCTAAAATAAAAACTTTTAATTTTCTTAGTTTTTGACTTACAAAATCATTTTAATATTCTATTGTTACAAGTTACAATGTAAAAATGGCCTTTCATTTTATTAAATTATATAATCGTGGTTGATTGGTGGGCGTATGAGGATCGAGAACTTTAGAATTCAAGTTAAAGCAAGTGTCCATTAGAGGATGTATATAGCTTCAATTTGCTTCATTTAGAAATATAAATTAGTGGTTCGTAGTTTTCACGACAAATAAAACCAATAAGTATATTTCCTTTCTAAAATAATAATCAAATAAAACTGTAATTTAAAATCGGACGCCTTTACTTCTCCTTGCATCTCGCCTGATTCGTCTCAGACCGTCCCATGAGGCTAAGCGATGGATTCAGTCATGATTCGTCACGCATACGAACGTAAAACGTCTAATTTACCCATCCCTTTCTATTTTTGTATGGTGACATTATAATTTGAAGGAAGTATTAAGTATATATCTTTTTCAACTTGTTTACATATTGGAGAACCATTATACATAACTCTAGATGTAAAAACACACTAATCAACATGGTAGCAATAAAATGAATTTCAAAAATGTCGAGTTGGAAACCGATAATGAATATAAATGTTCAACACACATAAAATCAACCATATTCCAAAGATAGTTCTTACAACATCTGGTAACATATTACAATTGCTACATTACTACATTATTAGTACGAGAGGCTGTCTAAAATTAATATGTTTTGATTACGTAAATCACACATATATTTTTTTTTTACTCTTATGTTGTGAACGCGTAAGCAAATAACTGAATAAGCATGTGCATGTACATGCACAAAAAAAATAATTTATTACCGAAATGAGAAGAAAAAAAGAACGCCTCTCCCCAAGAAAAGATGGATCGCTTGAAACCTTACTTAACCTTTTTCACCACATTTCACGCGTCAACTCGTCTCGATCACAACTATAAACCCTAAGTCCACCCTCTCCTCAATTCTTCACAACTCAATCTCTCTCTCTCCCCCTAAATCTCTTCCTCGCTCTCTACATTCACATCAACAAGAAGAAAAGAAGAAGCAGGAGACAAAGAAAGGAAGAAGAACAATATTACTCATTGATCAAGAGAAAATGGCCCAATTCATGAAGCTACTCGTGACAATTGCATTAACAACCGTAGTCACAATCGCCATCATCACAACCAAAACCACCACCAAGACTTCAACATTTGCTCTCGAAGACCCTTTCAAGGACCTTACGCCACCAGGAACGATTAAGATCAGACCAAGTCGGTTCTTGGCAGAAAAAGTCGACCAGGGTAAAGGACCAAAAGCCCGTAACCCAAACGCAGCTGACCATTGCAACAAGGACAATGAAATCTGTAGCAACAGCAATTACAGCACCGGAGCAAACGCTACAATGGCTTGTTGCAACAACAAGTGTATGGATTTATCTTCCGACGACAAAAACTGCGGTGCATGTAAGAACAAATGCAAGTTCGGACAAACGTGTTGTCGTGGTCAGTGCGTTTACGTGGCTTACGATAAACGTCATTGCGGTGAGTGTAACCATCGTTGCGATCTCGGCGAGTACTGCGTCTACGGTCTCTGTAACTACGCGTGATGAATCAATCATTCATTCACGCTAACGAAAAAAAAAAAAAAAGATTTAAGTAAAATATACGATGATTTATTTACATGGACACTGATTAAAAAAGGTCGGTCCAATTAATTATTTACTTAATAATTAATTAAAGTGTTGTGTGTATTTTTGGATTCCCATAATGTTTTGAGGGGTATATAATGGAGATTATTTTCTATATTTAATGTCTACGAATAAAATGGAACACTCTCGTTCCAATATTAATGCTGTTTTATTAAAGTTTATAATTAGAGTGTAGAAAGACACTCCAAAATAATATCATGAATAATGTTTTTATACGTATAAATTAATACATAAAATAAAATCTCTTTCCTCAATAGTTGGTCCCTGATTTACTATCAAACATAAGTTCCAATTACAATTAGGAATTGCCAAGAAGAATTAATGGGTGGGACTTTAAATTTTAATTCAAAACCCTTTATTGAAAAAAGACATTAAAGTTAGAAAGTATATTTTTAAAAATAAAATAAAATATAGCTTAAATTTTGCACACCTACCCTAACTAAGAAAATAAATTCACTTTGGTGCTTTCTGATTTACTTATGGATCATTTTTGGTATGTAGCGGTTAACTCATCAGGAAGAACATTACCACAACACATGACGTCATTGTCAAAGTCAATAGGTTGACTTATCTGAACCAACTCCCGATGGATACCAACCCAACGGGTCAAAACGTGACAAGTCGGGTCAAAATCAAAAACCTCAAACTCAAAAATATAAGGAGAGAGATCTAATTAAAACCCGTGAAGTGAACACTTGTTTCATCTTCTTCACAAAAACCACACGTCCAAATCACAACCTCAAATCTCTCTCTCTCACAGACACATACACATAAAACACGTGAATTTGCTCTCTCTCTGGTTCACTCATCTACCATCTATATAAATCTGAAAGAGTGATTGAAACCCACATCGAAAAATCTATCCTTTTTGTTCCTTCTCCGGCGTATCTCCGGGGAAATTGGTCATCGGTAATCACGGCTATTTACGGGATAAAGTCACGGCCTTTGAGCTTTCATGTCCAACGAAAGGGTTGTTTAATCATAACTAATCCTTTGCCGCACGGAGGACGTGGAGCTCTGCCGTCTGAAGGCGGCAGTCCTTCCGATCTCCTCTTCCTCGCCGGAGGCGGTTCCACAAATCGCCACTAACCTTAACCCTCGTTTCCTTTATTCTAGTTAGGTTTTTAGTTCTTAATCCTGTATAAATCTGTTACCTCGAGATTCAAAAATTTGTGAGTAATGTTGTTGAAGATCAAAAGAGTTCCTACAGTTGTGTCGAATTACCAGAAAGATGAGACAGTGGAAGAAGGTGGATGTGGTCGGAATTGTCTGAGCAAGTGTTGCATCAATGGTACATTTTAGTTCTGGCAAAATTCTTCTTTTTGTTTGAATTTGAATTGGTGCTGATCTTTTGTTTGTATTTCAGGGGCAAGACTTCCTTTATATACTTGCAAGAATCTTGATAAATTCGTCGGAGAGAAGTTAGAATCTCCGGTGACGTTCCTCGAATCCTTAGTTCTTGGAGAGGTAGTGGTTTTAGATACATGTTAAAAAGTTGTCATTTTGGTAACCAATGCGTTAATTGTTTGAGTAATGTATCAATCCTTATGTTTTCTAGTGGGAAGATCGTTTCCAAAGAGGACTTTTTCGCTATGATGTCACCGCCTGCGAAACCAAGGTATTATTGTCTCTTTAGTTTATGGTTGATTGATTTACTTTTAGAGCCAAATCTGTTTGATGTTTACTTGACCCGAAGCATCAAGTCTCAATTCACATTGTTGATGACTTATTTTGACTTGGAGATTAAGAATCAAGTTTCAGTTTCACATTGTTGATGTTTGCTTAAGCTGAAGCATCTAGTTTCAGTTTCACAGTGTTGATGTTTACTTGAGATGAAGAATCAAGTTTCTGTTTCACATTGTTGATGTTTGCCTTAGCTAAAGCATCTAGTTTCAGTTTCACGTTGTTGATGTTTACTTGAGCTGAAGAATCAAGTTTCTGTTTCACATTGTTGATGTTTGGTTGCTGTTGGTAAATTGGTAATTATAGGTTATACCGGGGAAGTACGGTTTCATTGCGCAGCTGAATGAAGGTCGTCATCTCAAGAAGAGACCAACCGAGTTCCGTGTTGACAAAGTTCTTCAACCATTTGATGGAAACAAGTTCAATTTCACTAAAGTTGGTCAAGAAGAGTTGCTTTTCCAGTTTGAAGCTAGCAATAATGATGATGATAGTGAACTCCAGTTCTTGCCGAGTATCCCTCTAGACGCGGATAATTCTCCAAGCGTCGTTGCAATCAATGTAAGGAGTTGTTGCTTTTAGGGGTCTTTTTTTCTTTTCTGATTAATCTGAAAACTGAACTCAAAATTCCTTTATGACAGGTGAGTCCGATTGAGTATGGACATGTGTTGCTGATTCCTCGTGTTCTTGATTGCTTGCCTCAAAGGATTGATCACAAAAGCCTTTTGCTTGCTCTTCAAATGGCGGCTGAAGCCGCTAATCCGTATTTCCGACTTGGATACAACAGTTTAGGCGCTTTTGCTACCATCAACCATCTTCACTTTCAGGTAAACAGAATCAAATCGAATCAAAATTGGTTTCTAACCACCCGGTTTTAATTTATAATGAATTCTCAAAATCGAAATAAACAACATGAACTGAACCAAATAACTGAATGCTCACCCTTATACAATTGTGATATTTATGAAGATTTTACTTGGAACAGGCTTACTATTTTGCAATGCAATTCCCGATTGAGAAAGCTTCTTCCTTGAAGATCAATACCACCAATAATGGCGTCAAAATCTCAAAACTCTTGAATTACCCTGTGAGAGGTCTTCTATTTGAAGGTGGAAATTCCATTAACGATCTCTCTGATACTGTATCAGATGCATCCGTTTGTCTTCAGAACAACAACATTCCTTTCAACATTCTCATCTCTGATTCTGGAAAACAAATCTTCCTTCTCCCTCAGGTTAAATCTTCAAACCATTTTATAAAAAACTCGATATTGAGTGTCAAAAGAAAAACCTTTTTTAACTATTGTTTGATTTGCAGTGTTACGCAGAGAAACAAGCTTTAGGGGAAGTTAGCTCGAAGCTATTGGATACGCAAGTGAATCCAGCGGTTTGGGAGATGAGTGGACACATGGTATTGAAGAGGAAAGAAGACTACGAAGGAGCTTCAGAAGAGAAGGCATGGAGGTTACTAGCTGAAGTTTCTTTATCAGAGGAGAGATTCAAAGAAGTTAACACTATGATCTTTGAGGCAATTGGTTTAAGTAGTCATGAAGAAGAAGAAGGAGAGGAGCTTGAAGAGCAGAGTTCGATGAATGGTGGCAGCTTCATAAGAGTGCATTGTCCTTCAGTGAAAGAAGAGGCTGTCTCTAATTGAGAGGTGCTTTATAACCAAGCAAAAACAAAACTCTCTTCGTGATACTTGCGTTTGACATTTATTGTTTTGTTGTCTTTTTATTTTCGTATTGGCTTTGTTAAGTCTTTGGTCGTGTGACCTTTGAATCAATAAAATTGAAATCAACTAGTTCAAAAATTTGGTTACAAAGAAAAGCTTCAAACCCTCTATACGAAGAAGAAGCTTTCGTAACATTTGATTTTTAGGCCCTAATCAGTAATCAGATCGACATTTTTTTCCTCTGCCATCACCGGAGCTCTGAGACTTCACCAACTCCATATCTCTCTCAAGCTTTTAGCTTTTGCTCGCGTAAACGCTTCTTCACCTCTATCTCTCACGCTCTTATTATATACATTTGTCTGTCGTCTTCAACCTCCATTTCACTGATCTGTTGAACTTTTGCATTTCATACTTGAGATGTTTTCCAGAAGTGTTTTTCTGATTGTCCTGTTCGATTTTAAACTAAACTGCTCATCTCCATGACAAGAAGAACCTAATTTAGTTTCTGGGTTTTGTTGGGTTTAAAGCCGTTGAGGTTGTGCATCTGTTTTTTATTAAGGACATGCATGGAAGGTGTTCGATAAAATGCCAATTTAGAAATCAGCAATTTTACTACTACAGAGATTTTATCCAAATTCATTTTTTAGCTATAGAGTAGAAATATCAGATCCTCGTTAAGCCAATTTTGTAATGTAGATCATGATAGTGATACAAAGTTTGCATTTCGGTAATCTTTTAGTACATTGCTTGGTTCATGATTTTTGAGAAGCCTCAACAATGTTCAAATATTTACTTTGTTCATTGGAAGATTTATTAACATGATTTCTGTTTTTTTGGGTGTGTAGAGTGTTGGACAATGAAGAAAGGATTGCACCCACAGATGCAATGGATCTCTTATGTAACACAGAGCGGTAGATTGATGCACGTGATGATGACAAGAATCCACCATGTTGGCAAAGTCTATCACTTTGGAGCTAAGCGTCAAATGGCTCAAAGCATTGGTCAGATTGCCAAGTTCAAGCGTAGGTTCAACGAGCAAGAGGCAGAAGCGGCTGAGGAGAATAACAATGAGACCCAGAACAAGTAGCTGCAAACAAACTCTTTTCTCTCTCCCTTACCTTTCCTCAAACACCAATCTGAAAAAGGTTTAGATTTTTCATTTACTATGAACCTTGCTTTGCTTCTCAAGATTGATTTTTACAGTTTTTGTGTCTCTCTGTTTCGTCAATAAAAAAACTTATCTTGATCCCTTCTTGACCATGAACATCGTACTTGATAGTAGTTATCTTTTTTTCTTCTAGAAAATTAAGAAAAGAAGCCATATTCATTTCATAATAAGATGGTGAATAGATGCAAGACACCATATATTTCTGCAACATATACATTGAATTACTAAGAGAGCCGGTTTCTCTTTAACCTTTTCAACAAATACTTTTCTTTCGTTTTTTTGCATAAAGACAAGCAAAAGTGGCTTGACAAAGTCCACTTTTATAATTTATCAAATTCAAGATCCCATTTGGGGATGAACAAAGGATCCTCAAATTTTGAGTAGCAATTCCTTTATAGGTTGGCTACAAGATATGAACATAAGCCTCAGCTTAAACAACAAAACCACGTTTTTTCTACAAAATGGTCATTCATTACATTCAATGAGAATGCCCAAAAGGACTATACAAAACAAGCTTGTCTATCTTGTTTTAGCTCTTCTCGTGGATGTAAAGAGAACTGTACTCTTCTATGCAACGCAAGCAAAACTGTTTTCAAAGATAAAGTAAGCTTAATCAGTCTACAAGTGAGTGCATATGTTTAGAAATGAAAACAGTGTCACATATATATAGACATTTTGCAACACATACAACTCAGAACCAAAACGACATTACCCGCTAGTCTCATTAGTCATTCATCAAACTGTAGCATAAAGAATTTGGGATCAAACCGGCAGTAAAAAACTTAAGCTTAGTCATCTACAACCAAGTCACTCCAGATATTCATAAGCAACGACAATTTGTATATTTTTGCTGCTAATTTCATCACATGCTTTCTTTACAGAAACTCACAAAACAAGCTTAAATCATCTAAAAAGCAAGCGGGTAAGCAAAAACATGTCCATTGCATTACGCTAAAAACACAAAACATTCCTTCATTTATGACAAACTAAAAACAAGAAAGAGATATTAAACTTTCAATACGTTCAAACCTATCAAACAGTAGCAGATTTGGCACACACGAATTTATAAGACTTAGGGACTGTAAGCACCGCATCGAACCACTCGACCTTCCCCCAAATCTCTCCACTGTTGCGCTTTTCAAGCGAAATCTCTGCACACCAAATCATCTTCTCCTTATAACCAGTTGCAGCTACATACTTGTCCCAAAAAACAACCAGCTTACCACCATAATCCGCTAATTTAACAGTACTATATCTAGCAAACTTAGGTAGCCCTTCTAAACCCTCTAATCTTCTCCAATCTTCTTCAGTGTTAAATTTTATCCAACTAAACTTTTCACTAGGGTCATAACAATAGGCTATGTTCTCTATCATACAAATAGAACCCCGATCCAAATCCGTATCCCATCCTACCGCTTCCCATGTCATAACCTTTGGCTTTAGAGCCACAACCTTCCTAGGATTCTCTCGAACAGGGTTCATGTAAATCTTTCCTTCCATATTTCCGAACTTGAATTTCCGTTTTTGGGGCGGCACGGGATTCCAAGTTTGAGTCTTTGTGTTGTACACTTCAACACAGTTCAAAGAATATGGATTTTCAGAGCTTCCAGCTAAGTACACATTCTTATCAAGTTCACTATTGGTGTGAGCAATTCGCATTCTTGGAGCTTCAAGCCAAGTGTGAGTTCGACAGTCAAGGTACCAAACATTAGAGCATGGAGAATCTTCGATGGCTGCGGTAATGGCGTAAAGATTAGAACCAACAGCAATGAGCCTTGCCCATTCTACATGAGGAGAGTTGAGAATTGGGGTTGGAGCCAAAAGATTAACACTTGAATCCTCTTTTTTCCTCTTCTTCTTCTTCTTAGTTAGGTTTTGATTAGGTTTCCGGTAGAGAGTGAACCAGCGAGGATTAGCTTCATCAGGGAAGCGTAAGCACACATAGAGAAAAGTCTCGGTTTTGCCTAAGAGGGTTCGAGTCTGGTAAAGCTCCGGTGAAGCAAGAATCGATCGGAAGCTTTTGGAGACTAAGGAGAGTTTTGTGTAATACGATCTCGAGACGCGGGCTAAGATGTTCACTACCAAATCATCTGGAAGTGATGGATTTGAGGTCGATTCCGGCGACGGCGTAAGCGAACGTTTCTTCGTCTTCCTTGTCGGCGACTTCCTCTTCTTTTCTGGGGACGACATTGTCGAGATTAATGGAGACGATTTCTTCTACTTCTACTTCTTCTCCGTCGTGCAGATAATATTAGGGATTTGACTTCACTTCACTGCTAGAGCTCTCGAGCGCGTGAGAAACATCCACAGAACGTGAAGGGCTAATTTTTAACAGTGGGCTTGTGATCAGAATCATTTTCATTGAATCTAATGGGCCTCAAAACAATAAACATTTTTCTACTAAGTGTTAAACCTTATCAGTATTTCTTGCTAATTCGGTCAGTCTAGCAACTAATTTCATGTCCATAACACAAAAAGTTACATAGATCTTTTGATTACTGTTCCTTTTGGTTACAAGTTAAAGGTTTATATCCAGGAAGTTTATGAATCATAAATCATATGATCAACTAGATTATGTGTGCATTTGAATCTAAGTTAAAGAAAAAGAGCGTATATAATTAGATAATGAGTTACTTGAATAATGATGATTATGTGCGATTGAAGGGCATTCTCAACCATTGCCATGCATGCATCGGAGTATGCAGGACATACATGAATGAACATAATCCAGGTTTTCTTCCTTTTTATAAAGTTGATCTCGCTAGCTGGCGAAGAAGCTGCATATCCAAAAGTAAAGAAAGATGCAAAAGCCAATTTGTCTAACCAACTTTCTTTTCTGACAAAATCTAAGCGCATGAGGAGTTCCTGCTTTTTAGTCGAGTATGTTACATATAAACGTCCTTTTGCTTTTAGTCTGATTCGGTCACCGAGCTGTCGGACAAACCCTAGCATTTTGCGTCCACATGGGCAAATAGAGTAAAGTAAATACGACTATGTTCGATTGAGAAGAAAAGAAAAAGTAGCTTGACAAAGTACACTCGTATAATATCAAATTCAAGATCCTGTTTGAGAATGAAACAAATGATCCATAAATTAATTCTGTGGCGATTTCTTTGTACGTTGGCTACAAGAGATGAACATAAGCTTGTTTTTGCAGCAACTTGGTCATTCATTACATCAATGACAGATACAAAACAAGCACTGTATATCCTGTTTTAGTTCTCCCGAATCTAAAGAGAACCATACCATTCTACTCAACACAGACAAAAGTTTCATAGACGAAAGTGAGGGCATATCTTTAGAAATGAAACAATGTCCGCTAAAAGCATGTGAGAAGGATTCATCAGTCACACATATATATATATAATAGGCATTTTGTAACACAGACATTCAAAACAAAACGATGTTGACATCAAAAGGGTTTTTCAAGAGAGAGTCACATAATAAGCTTTAATCATCAAGAAGCAAATGAGTACAGATGTTTCTAAGCGGAAACAATGTCAACTGCATTCCGAAAAAAATTCAAGACATTCCTTTAATTGTGACATACTAAATAAAAGAAAGCTTCATACCTGTGTCATGAGTCATTAATCAAAAAGTAGCAGCAGTAGCACACAAGATTTTGTAAGACTTAGGGACTGTAAGGACCGAATCAAACCACTCAACCTTCCCCCAAATCTCTTTATTGTTGCGCTTTTCAAGTGAAATCTCTGCACACCAAATCATCTTCTCCTTATACCCACTCGCAGGCACATACTTGTCCCACAAAACCACCAGCTTGCTGCCATACTCCGCCAATTTAACAGTACAATATCTAGAAAACTTAGGTAGCCCTTCTAAACCCTTTAACATTCTGTAAACTGTTATACCCTCAAATTTTCTCCAAACAAAATTTCCATCCCAATAACGATAGGTTATGTTCTCTATCATACAAGAAGAAAGTCGATATGAATCCGTATCCAATCCGCACGTCAAGTTCTTCGACTTAGAGCTCAAAGTCAGATCTTTCCCAGTAGACACTAAATCAAAGTTCTTGTAGTAAACCTTTCCTTCCAAATTTTCCAATTCGAATATCCGTTTTTCGGGCAGCACCGGTTTCCAAGTTTGAGTCTTTGTGTTGTAAACTTCAACACAGTTCAAAGGATCAGGCTTTTCAGAGCTTCCTGGTAAATACATCCTCCCATCAAAGTCACTATTGGTGTGAGCCAATCTCATTCTTGGAGCTTCATGCCAAGTGTGAGTTCGACAATCAAGAAAAGGGACGTTAGAGTAAGGAGCATTTTCGATATCTGCGCTAATGGCGTAGAGATTATGACCAACAGATATGATATCTGACCATTCAACAGGAGGAGAGTTGAGAATTGAGATTGGAGCCAAAATATTAACACTTGACTTCTCCTCCTTCTTCTTCGTCTTCTTCTTCTTAGTGGTGTGATCGGCTAGGGTTTGATTAGGTTTCCGGTAGAGGGTGAACCAGCGAGGATTAGCCTCATCAGGGAAGCGTAAGCACACATAGAGAAGATTATCGGATTTGCCTAGGAGGGTTCGAGTTTGGTAAAGCTCCGGTGAAGCAAGGATCGATCGGAAGCTTTTGGAGACTAAGGACAGATTTCTGTAATAAGATCCCGAGACTCGGGCTAAGATGCTCACTATCACATCATATGGAAGTGACGGGTTCGAAGTCGGATCTTTCGACGGCTTCTTCTTCTTCCACGGTGGTTGGCCGTCCGTGACGGCGGAAGCGGTGGACGACATTTATGTATTGGCCATGGAGCTCGATCAAAATTTAGGGTATTGAGCTTTACGCGCCTGAGACAAATTCTACCGTGGGCCTGAATTGAGATTGAAAAGTGGATTGTGATTAGTATCTATGAATGATATGAATCAAACGAGTAGATGGTATCATAACATCTAAAACTTGCTCTGATTCAGACAGGTTCCATTTCAACATGGATTTGATAAGGTTTTGCTACATGACATAACTAATAGTACATGTTTCTGCTCCAAACATCTTGAGCTACGGATTTAACCAACTTGGTGCAAAACGTTTCCCTCTAGTAGGTGGGGAAGTTGGGGTTGACATTGGCTGCCCAAGCTTCCAGTCCTCCAATTATATCCTTGGCTGAATCGAAACCCGACTCACGAAGATATTGAACAGCTCTCTGTGAATCATTCCCGCGTCTGCAAACAACGTAGACACTAGGATTTGTGCAAGATCCGGTGTTAACATGGCCGTCTTCCTTTTCTTTAAGAGCTGAAGTAAGCTCGTTTAACCGAGCCTCTAAGTTTGCAAGAGGGATGTTGAGTGAATCCGGGAGAGAGACAATCTTATAGTGATGCGAAGGCCGAACATCAAGCAGAACATGTTGTTCCTTCTTTTGAAGAATTTCTTTGAACTCCTTGCTGCTAATTCTTGATTCTGCAGGAAGCAAGTTCAATGGGCCCTGTGATCAAATCAATGCAGGTAAACTTCATATATGAGACTGTTACTGACAACAACCATTGGATTCGAGATAAGAGAAAAACAGAGAATAATACCGCAAATAAAGGAAATTGGGTGAAGTCCTCATAGTCAAAATCTTTAAACGTTTGCTTATTGAAAGATGAATTGTCTCCACACACTGTGCACTGTGATGACCTGCCTCTGATCTTGACCTGTGCAAACACTACTCAATCAGTTTATGCAAATGGAAACCCAATTGAATGTAATGATGAATAGAAATAGAATTAGTAAAACTTTACAATGCGCATCCTTGCTGATAAAGCATCAAAAAGAAGCATCCGTTCAGAGAGTGGCTCTCCCACCATGCTCGCGAGTTTAATTGTCTCTAGCGCTTGTAGACAACCAATAACACCCGGAACTGAGGACAGATATAGTGGAAAAGATCATTTAAAGATGGACGAAATTGGTAGAGATTTGCTAGTAATAGAAAAAGAAAAAAAAAACCGCCATTCATGTACCTACTCCAAGAACTCCACTATCAGAACATCTTTGGCACGCTGAGGTAGGTGGAGGAGTGGGAAAAAGACACCGGTAGCACGGGCCTCCGTTGTGGTTATAAACCGTAAGCTTGAATACAAAAATCAAAATAACAGTTTAGTGATTAATGTGTGCCTTAACATCTATAAAGAGTAACACAATAATGTCGCAATTGTCATATCACATACCTGTCCTTCCATCCCAAGTGCAGCACCGGACACCAAAGGCTGTATACAAAATACAAAGGCTCAGTCAATACCGGCAGCTATAGAACTGACTACAAATAAACATGGGCATCATGATGGGTGGTAGTTTCAACTTGAAGTACTCAGGTATCACCATCGTTTATGACGTATATACAGAGAGTTCAGAAAATGAATCACCTTTCCTAACAGGACACAACAATCGCTGATCATGTAACGGCTTGGAGGATTATCAGTCGCATCTACTATGATATCATATCTAATTTATGCAGTTACGGAAATATAGCCATTCAATGCTTTACTTTGAGGAGACTAATAGAGATACAGAAAAATGAGACTTCCTAAAACATTTTTACATATCTAAGGATACTGGCTGAGGATTTCCAAAGCATTGGAAGTGCGAAGAGCTTCCACATATTCATCAATTTTGATCGTCGAATTTATTCTGGAAATAAAGGAAAAAGGAATTCTGATTAGATTAAACAAGTAGAGGTGGGCATAATTTGCTCGAATGCTGCGTGATAATTTTATATGAGATCAAATTAATCCCCAGGGAGTTTAAATTACGAGCGACAAGCAGCAGCAGCAGATTTCACTTTGGGATGACCAATAAATGCTTCTGTGTGTATAATCTGAATAACAAACAAATCAAAAGAGAAATAAATAAGCCAAAGGTAGTACTTTCATTCAGCCACTGACCACAGATTAAAGCCAAGAAAAAGAAAGAGTTGCCAAAGCAGATTTTTTCAAGTCGTACCTGCCTGTGCATATTGTTGAGCTCTACAACATCATGATCTATAATACCCAAGCGACCTAAAAGAATACAACAAAGTGATGACACGGAACATTATATAGAAACTATTGTATGATATCTGTAGATAAATTTGAGGTAAGGTTCTGAAACCATACCAACACCACATGCTGCAAGATACAATAAGGCAGGTGAACCCAGTCCTCCAGCTCCAATAACTAATACTGAAGACTTCAAAAGATTTGACTGCCCTATACTCAATAAACACAAACAATCATAAAACAAAACGAAAGAATCAATTTTGGAAGACACTACCAGAGGTAACAAATAATCCAAAATTCAATTTCTCATACATCACTAAACTGATCAAATAGGGAAACAAAAGAAACCCAATACAAAGTTTTCATCTTTCAACTCTATCATCACATAACCCAGAATCATCCATCTCTGATTCAAACGTGAAAAGAGTTTGCATTTGAGTTTTTGAGCAAAAGTACCTTCAACAGCAAACGAAGGGAGTAACAATTGACGACTATAACGGTAAATCTGATCAGGAGATAACCCATGTTCAAGCTCCGGCGCCGTCAGATAAGAGTCACCGTTGGATACGGCGTCGTACCGTTCAACCGCCGCCGTATCCTGGAGCTTAGCTTCGAGGGTCGAAATACGGTACTCTATTTCTGCCTTCTTGAGCTTCAACTCTTCCAATTCCCGGATAATTTCCGACGAATCTCCACCGTTCGACATCATCACGACAAGTAGAACCCTAGAGGTTATAGCAGCAAAGAAGACGATGTCAGTCAACGGGACCAAACGTTGACTGTTTTTATTGACGCCGTGGATCTGTATCTTTAACCGGATTTAACCGCGAACCAAATTGGTAGGCCGGGTTGGGTCTTATTTACCTAGTTAATTTTGGAATGTCTTTTGACTGAAACATAATCCCAATATGGCAGATGTAAATAAATAATAAAACCTTTTGACTTAAATTATTATCTGACCAAATAAGACTATATATACAAAAAAAAAGAATATATGTTATGGGAACCTCATTGATAATGGTCTTTGAATAATATGGAAGATTTATTATACATATATATATATATGTATATATGTATGTATGTCTATATAAATGTACACCCAAGACCACCACAAATCATTCTCAATAAGTATTAAAATATTACAAATATAAAAGGTGAGTCAAATTATAAATATTTAGAATATGTTCCTCTTATACTAGATTTTTGTTTTTGTTTTAACATTAACTTTAAAACTCGTTTTTAATAGGTTTTGAGAAGGAGTTATAGAATCTTCCAGAAAAATAACAAATGACAACCCAAATGGTTTCATCTCATCGATTACTTACGTTGATGATGGTGTTTGTTCTCCTCCTCATACCTATGATTTCTGGTAACACATTTATTTGTTATAAATTTTGAAAATTTGTTCCTTAAAAAATTACAGTTTAAAATATTTAACTGACCATATTTGCTTTAAATTTTTTGTTGATGAATTTTGTTATGAATCTTATAGGAGGACAAATTACAGACAAATGTACGGAGGGATGTCTAAACCCAACATCTTGCAATATACATTGCTTGAGGAGAGGCTTAGGGCATTGTGAAAAAGCTGTAATTCACGGGGCTGTTAAAATTTTTTGTTGCTGCAATAATTATTCTAATTCTCCCATCTCCAGTCAGGTTATGAATGATTGATCTCTTAATTATTCTAAATGTACTCTCGATTATAAAAACATATATTTAAATATAATAATTGATATTATCTCATCCAACCCCCACTCTCTCTCATCAAATTGTTTATAGTTTGATTGTGTCATTAGGACATCAATTTTGTCTTACCTCTCTAATCTTTGCAACTAAAAAATCTATCACGAAAACTTTAATGTATGTAAAGATGGAATGGAAATCTTCCTGTTGGGTTTTAACTAGGACAACAAAGGAAATTCCATGACGTCACGTCACTAACCCTGGGAAACATGTCATCTTTGACTACGACGGCGCATCACACACACGTGGCATCATAATCATAACCTTTGTTGATGACACATCATCAAAAGCATAACTGATGAGGAAAACTTCATCTATGCGTTTGATCTAATCCAAGTTACAAAAGTAAGAGACCTCCAAAGACAAAATGTTGAGAAATTATGTGAATCTGAAATCAATCTCTAAGCATAATATAAGATCATGTATTATTTACTCTTTTTATCTCAAGGTATATATTCTGATATTCCTACGTTTTCATGAAATAGATTTACTATATATACATAAAGATAATATTTTTGAGATGTTAATTTTCTTTATATGTAGAGAGGAAGTGCGAGTGGAGGAAGGGAAGAAGGAAGAGCTCCTTCGACGGCGGAGGAGTTCACAAGACAAGGTGTTGCTAGCCAAACAGTAGAGAAGTCTTTTGACGGAGCTGCGGTGGCGGTAAACGTCTCCGGTGATTCTGAGGCGGATGTGGAGAAGGTGAAAGAGGCGTTTAAAGATAAGAAAGACTATAATTATAAGAAGGGAAATGATGATGATGATAATGATGGTTTGCCTATCAACACGGCTAAAGGAATATAAAGGCATGTACACTTGTTAGTAGTATCACTGTAAATTGGTGTATAATATATGCATGAATGTAATATTATAGTCATCATGTACTTTGTATATATCGAGTAATGGATAGAAGAAATGTTGCTTTTTTCTTCTCTTTTTTCTTGTCAACTATTATCTGCAAGTTTATTAATTTCTTTTAGTTTTGTTTAGCTACTATATACTTTGTAGAAATAAAATTTACTTTGATCATTTTTTATAGTTACTAAATATTTGATCAAACCCAATATTTAAAACACCTAAGAAGTAAAAAAAAAAAAAACCTTGATGGAATTTAGAGGTTTTACCAATTTAGAGGTTAGAACTAGTGACTAGAGCAATGGAATTTGACTGTTTATCATATATTTTCTTAAATAAAAAATAGCTTTGCAAGATTAATAAATCTAAAGATTGATGCAAAAAAAATGAAACCAAATCATTTTTTTGAAGAAATTATAAAAAGGTAAATTTGATTTGTAGGAGCCAATTAATGGGCCCAGATAAAGCCCAAAATATTAAGCTATTCTTTGAAAACGATGTCGTTTAACCATTGTTGTGCAAAAAGCCTAAAACCCTTTGCCAAACGCGAATCTCAAAGATTTTCCGAGCTTTTTTCGCCGTCTTGACTACACTCCTCGACGATCTCTTTCACCGGACTTGTCGTCTCTGTTTCTTCAAGGTAATCGAAAACCATCCATTTCGATTCGAACCTTACTCTCTGATTGCCTCTTTGGAATCTCTCGTTATGCAACTTCTCTCTTCATTTGAAATGATCAATCTGATTAGGTTTTTAATTCATGATTCTATCTCTGGATTCTTCCGGTTTTTGATCTCTATATAGGATTCATATTGAAAAGCGCGTTCCTTTATCAGTATTTTCTAATAATTTCTAGCTTAGACTGCATTTCTACGGTGAATTTTGTGTGTTTATCGTGAGTGAGTGATTGGTTTTGATCCATTGATCTAATCATCTTTAACATTCTTAATTTTGCACTCAAGACTTAAGGTTTTTTTAAACCTGAAGCTGCTTGCTTCATTGATCTCTTATGACAAAATGGATATGATTTTGGAGAAGATGGGTTAATGTTCTTTGATGTGTCTTTTAATTTTTTGTGTTTGTGATTATGATTTGGCTATTGTTACAGAGAATCTGAGTGATAAAGGAGACAAAAAGGATGAGTGGTTTTAGAGCTTTTAAAGCAAAAGTGCCTATTGAATGGAGCCAGAGCTTGTACATAACCTTAGTGAGAGGTCTCCCTGGAACCAGGAAGCTTCACAGGCGAACACTTGAAGCTATGGGACTTCGTAGATGCCATCGTACGGTTTTGCACTCAAACAATTCATCCATTAGAGGAATGATTAACCAGGTGCTCTTTCTTTATCTTTTATCTCTTCTCATTTGTCATATTTCCTCTTCTAAGGATAATGAGTTTTAAAATGTGATTTTTTCTTTTGGGGTTAATGCCTCTATGTAGGTTAAAAGGATGGTTGTTGTTGAAACAGAAGAGATGTACAATGCTCGTAAAGAAGCAGAAGCCAACCACAAAGCTTTGCGCCCACCACTCGTTGTCAGTCATTCAAGCCCTGCAGGAGGTTCATCCAACATGTCTTGAGACTACTTTCATAAGATGGTAATCTCTTCTACCGTCAGTTTGATAAGATCCGCTTGGATATTGTAGGCGCCTTAAGTTTAAGTTCTCGGTAAGATGTCCAGGAAGTAACTAGTCCTAGACACTTGATAAGAAATGTTGGTATCAGTGTGTTTGGTGCCTCTTATGTTTTGTATACACTGAATCCTTGTGTATGTTTGCTCTCATTTTGTCAATCTCAAATCTATTGGTTTGGTTATTTTTTGTTGCCAGTGTTTCAAGATTGGGAATGGGAAGTTTATCTGATTTAGTCCCAGATTGGTTAGTACAAATGGTGATTCTTAAGAAAGTTACCTGATTAATGAAAGTATTTGAGAGAAAGATAGATGCTGAAATAATCATAAGTTCATAACTTAATATATTGATACAAAAAAATGAACCCTTAATAAACAATCTCTTATGACTATAATCTAATGTATCAAGAATCAAATTTGGAATACAAAACTTTTACTATGCAAACTACAAATTCTACAATACATCCTTCGTTCATCACTGAAGAACATCTGTAGGTATGACCCAAACCATCTGACAATTCCAAGATCTTGGTTGGTAAATTTTCATGGTTTGCTTACTCTCCCATTCAAAAACGCTCAGATTCTGAGGCCCTAGTCCTCCTATACTTGAATCATCACCATCAATGAAATAAACTGAGTTGTCTTTGAAGAATTCTCTAGATCCTCTTTCACCTGCTAAAACGGCTATACATCTACCTTGAGGGCTCAAGAACAAAGCTTTTCCTCTCAAGCTTATCACCTTTGTCCATTCATTAGTCTCGCGATTGAATTCGTAAATCTCGAAAGAGGTTGTGAAATCACAATCGTCGTTAAGCTCCAGCTTCTTTAGAACCACCCAAAGTTCGTCATAATCCGACTCTGCAAAGTATTTCTTGCAAGAGTCGTACCGAAACGGTGAGGAGCTGCACAAAGGAATAGCTTTTGGACTGTTAGGACTAAGCTCACAGTGATATATCTCTCCGAATCTGTCGATGGCGAAGAAGACGCCATTGCAGAACACAATATCATCGACAGCAGAGGCAACAGATTCCAAATCTGTCCATTGTTTATCTCCGCGTCTGCAGAACGCTAGTTTTCTATCAGTGTTGTATATTACGAGCACAACCCATTCATCGTCTAATAAACGTGTTGAAGAGACTGCTTTCTTTACAAAGTTCTTTAAGGCTTCAGAGTCTGGAAAGATTGCTTGAGACTGAAGCAACCGCTGAACATCCTCAAAAGATATCAAAGGTGGCAGAGAAGTAACGCTTTTGGTAAACGGATTTCTTAAATGAACCTCAAACGGGAAAGAAGCATTGACCGTCAACAAAAACCCTAGTGTACTGCCACACACCCACGGTTGTTGGTTCCCTGAGAAACCCAACTTTCCCGGCGACAAAACTCTAAATTGATCGAAGAATCGGATATCTTCATTGGAAGAGAGATGGGAAACAAACAGAAAAGGAGCAAACTTGTTACTGTAGTATACGGCAGAAGAAGAATCCTTCCAAGAAGAACAGACGGTGGCACAGTTTAGAATGTCTCTGGCGTCGTTTAGGTTGTGGAATACAGCATTGAGAAGCTCCGGAAGAAACTCTGACCACGACGAAGAAGATACAGCCATTATTATGAGGGTGCAGAGAAACCGGAGCTTATGAGAAAATGAAGAGAACCGTTATTATATAATCGGTAGAAACTTGGGACCCAAGGAAACGTGGGGAGCAAGTTTGACCAATTATCATAGTCGGCAACTTGTGCGTTTAGTTTAAGCTAAAGCCAATAAAAAGATTCCAAAAACCCATAAACAAGCCCATTAATATTTTAAGATCCAATAAGTTCATGATTCACATAGACTTTAACCAGTAAGTAGAAACTGGTCAAAGTAAAACAAAGCCTGCCAAATTTAATCTAAAGCCGATTCACTAAATCCATTAATATCACACAATCTTATGGAAAACCATTAAAATAGCCACTAAAAGCAGAACAGCTTCAGGCCATTAGCACCACCACCAGTCTGATGGAGCATTGCATCAATCTCATCTCCATCTTCCATTTCAAGCTGTAAAATTGGAAATTCTCGGTTTAGGAAATCATACAATTCTGAAAACAGTCAAAGGGAAAGGGGTACAAGAGAGTGATTTTACCTCATCTGGAGTCTGCTCGGCACGAAGACGACGCCCATCAAACAAGAAAGCAATTGAGTTGAAATCCACAGACTGACGGTCACAGTAAGCATTCATCAGCTTTTTGAGCTGAGTGCTTCTCTTGATCCTAAAGAAGACTTCATTACCATCCTAAGTATCCACAGGAAAAGTATTGATGATTGTTACTTCAAGAAGAGTATTATCAACAATTTTCTCGATAAGAAAACTGTATATTATATAACTAACCAAGCACCAACAACGAAAAAAGGCCTAACAATGAGTACTGAAACATAAGCAAAACAAATCACAACAGTAATGAATAGCTTTCATGAAACAAATGTTCAATACTCCAAAAGCGTATAATGAGAGTTCAAGATTATAATTTGCTTAAGATTAGTCACAACACTACAACAATTTACTCGTAGATATAATCACTATCTCATCAAACACACCCTCACAAATACTAGAGTTTAGTAATGTACCAACAAGTTCTGTTTGCTACAATTATGACAAAACATAATTCACAACTCTCAAATAACTCTGTCTTTGCTTCAAAATTTCAATTTAAAAGTTACTTTTACACAATAATCACTACCTAAATAAACAACTCATACACAAGCTTACCAATTTTAAGAACAAAAACTGGGAATAACGCAGACAAACCCAAACCCTAGAATTGAAAGCAATCAGAAGCTATAAAAACCCTAATCACACTCAAAACTTGAACCAGACAACGAATCGTTACACAATGCAAGAAAGAGAAAGAGAGTGAGAAATACAAAACCTGTCCCTTGACTTTGAGATTGATGTGAGCTCCTTGGTCGGGCTTCTTGTCTTCTTCCTGAGTAGCAGACATCTTATCAGATTATACGGTCGGCGATTGGAAACAAAAAGTCCGATCTGCGATATAGACGAAGCCCTAAGAGAGATTCGCGGGATTGCAGAATTGAGGGTTTGATAGACAGAGAAAAGACTCGGCAGAGAATAAAAAAGACTGAAACCACTATCTTTGGTCGCATCGGATTCTTGTTTATCCAACGGTTCATAATCATTGATCGTCTAGCATCCGACGGCTGTGAGTGAGTATAACCCCTAACTTAAAACACTGTCGTTTTAGCATTCATGATGGGCTAATTATACCAAATGGGCTGATTACTTTTTGATAACGTTTAAACCCTTTTTGTGTGAACGAACCTACCCAAGAATTTTAGAATTTGTGTCAAAGTCTCAGCTTTCAAGTATAGAACCAGAGATGTTGTTACTTTGACTACTTTCTTCAACATAGTTTTGTTGTGTGACTTTTAAAATTAACCAACTTGAGTTAAGTTGTTTAGTCATGGTTCTAAAATTAACAAAGTACAAAGATTCTGATAAATCCATAATCAGATCCCATTAATATTATAAGATCCGATAACTCATAAGTTATGAGTCATGATTTACACTTCAAGTGATTTTTCTTGAGAAAATAGTCAAAGTAACACAAAGCCTGCCAAATTATCCCTAGAGCCGATTATGATCGAAAACCATATAAGACCACTGAAGCTGATTTGCTCGTAGACCACCACTCATTGAACGGCACGCATAGATCACATCTCTATCTTCCATATCAAGCTGTAAATTGGAGATTCTTGGTTTAGTAAATGATAAAATTGTGGCAAACATATAAATTGTGAAAGGGAAATGATAAAGAGAGTGATTTGCCTCATCTGGAGTCTCCGTGCCACGGATACGAGCTCCATCAAACATGAAAGCGAATGCGTCTAATTTCAAACCTCGGCGGTCGCAGTAAACGTACATGAGCTTTCTAAGCGGAGTGTTTTTCTTGTTCTTAAATAAGACTTCATCTCCATCCTTAGTATCACCAATCAAGAAAAAGATTTTAATCACTTACTTCAAATCATAACAGTTTGCAAAAGATCGTATTATCGAAGTTTTCGTATAAAGAAACTGTATATATAGTATCACCAACCAAGCACCAACGACAGAAAATTGCAATAAAGAGAGAACAGAGTGAAAAACAACCTGGCTCTTGACCTTGAGAATGACATGAGCTTCTTGTTCTTGGTCGATGGGCTTCTTGTCATCTTCTTGAGGGTTAGACATCTTTCTTTTATCAGATTTCGCCAGAAAAAAACTCCGGTCTGTGAGAAAGACGAAGGCCTGATAGAGAGATTCACACGATTGCAAAATGAGGGGTTGACTTTTGAGAAAGAGAGACTTCTGATAAAAATGACTGAAACCAGTTCTTGATCGCACTCACATTAAATTCTTGTGGTGAATTTATCGAACGGATCATAATCATTGGTCGCTTATCATCCGACGGCTGGGAGAGCGTAGAATCCGTACTTGAAAAAACACCGGTTCGGTTTTAGTCAAGCATTCGTAATGGGCTATTGGGCTGATTTAAGATCATATATGCTCATACGTGGGCTTAATTACTGTAGACAGTATTTGGAACCCATTTTAGTGAACCGACCGAAGAGTTTTAGAGAAAAGTTTTATCAATTTTCTTACATATCATATTTAAAAAAAAAAAAAATCTAATTACCACGATAATCAAATAATTTCAAAAATACCACTGTTAGAAACTTAAAAAAACCTTAGCAAACATAACTCTTGTGGTATTTTAAAAAGAAACTCAAAATTATGATATTTTTTAAATATTTTTTTCACAAATTTTAGGGCAGCTCTCTTCATAAAATTTATATCTTTATTGATGTTCTAATGCATGCATGGTTATTATTTAATATTAAATAATTATGTACGTCGACCGTCGTAGTGTGTAAATAAATGGTTAGTCTATGTTTCGTGACGACTTCTATTTCGGCCCGACAATATATAATATATTTCCAGCTTTTAATAGATATATTAATAGGCATCGTATGATACAATTTGTATCCTAACGTAAAGATCAAGGAGAAGGCCAACATTCCTATCTAAAATTCAACTTGTTGGACAGCATTCAATTGACCTACCACATTGAATTCTTTCTCTTGGTTGATAAGAAACTAATAATGATGATGTTGTATTCATACGAATATATTACTTAACGTTCATATCATAATAGTACTTACAAATTAAGTCAATCTGAAGGTGACACCTCTCTGGATAATATAATGTTTTCAATATTCATGGACTTGTCATTCTGTTTCGTTTTCAATTCCCTGTACCGACTTAAGACTTAAGTGCCTTGGTGAAACATACCGTACGATGTCGACGAATCCCATGGATATATTAAAATAAAGTTACTTTCATAATCGAAACATTATTTTGCTATGTATATGTAAACCAGCTTACATATAATATCAGTACCATGTGGACAAGTTGATTCAAAAACAAAAAACATACATATGATCATCGAAAGATGCTATTACCACCATATCAATATGATGTCTATTATTTTCTATTTTGATAATGGATTTATATAATGATTAATCTTGGTTTCATTATTCATGTCTCAATCACCGAAGATCAAACTAAAGTTGAAATTGATGTAGTTAATATAATTACCATGCGTATTGACTTTTTAAAGCATATATGTGCATAAAAGTTAATATTCAGCCACGATTAATAAACTATCAAATAAATTTTATGCAACAGACATAATTCTGAATTAGCAACAAAGTATAAATAACTCTGAAACATCATTAGCAAACATATTTTAAAAAATAAATCGTAAATATATTCAAAATCTGAAAGCATCTTAATCTGACATAGTAATTAATAAAACTAGTCGTAATGTCCAAAAATCTTGGTTTTTCATCCGAATGAGACATTTAGCATTAGAGTTCTATTTGTATAGGACAACTAAACTATACAAAATATCGTTTTTTTTTCCGTGGACGGAGACCTAATATATGGACCATTTAGATTATTGATTCATTATTATAATATTGGAAAATAATTTGAGTTGTTTGCTTAGCTAACCTTACAAGATTCATTTTTCCGATCCACACATATAAAACGCGTTCATTAGCCCAATTTGCTAAGTCAAAATATTAGTTACAACCAACTTGTGAATAATCAATGTTACTATCAACGATTACATTTTAATTCCTTGAATTAATAAATTTATCGAAACATATCTAAACACAATTATTAACAATAATAACTCCAAACATGAAAGAAAATAATGGATGGAATATTTGGGAATTCTCGAAATGATTGAACGTACGAAAAAGAGACGTTGGAGTCTTCAGAAAGCTTTAACGTTCAAATTTATGAGATAAAACAATGGCACATGGCCCCCCATTGCAGATTCTTCATTTCACGACGAGGCCTATTTTCCATTAATTACACTGTTCCGACCAAGTAATGCATCACATCACCGATTAATTATCACTCCTCCGAACAGTTTTTTCGCCTATATAATTCTGACTTTAACGGAAATTATATTAGCTGTTTTCAACAAGTGATTAATACTAGTATTTATTACCATCAGATACTAGTACAGTAAAACCTCTATAAATTAATATTGTTGGGACCATGATATTTTATTAATTTATCGTGATATTAATTTATCTATAAATTAATAAATATTAATTTACAGTGTAAATTAATATTTATTAATTTATAAAGAGATATGTTTTAATTCTTAAAATTTTTAGAAAGAAATAAATTTATAAATTTTGTAGTTGTGGACTTAAATTTTAATAGTTTGAAAAAATCTATTTCGGAAATAAATTAGACAATAAAATTACAAAGCGTATAGATGAATTTAATTATACAAACGATATACGTAAATTCAAATTTATGATTAATGACCTCAATTATCGTATTTTAACACTTATAAAAATATCGTAATAAAAATGATGCATATTCAAAAATTAAAAACTTAAAGAAAATCTTGAGTATTTTACGATACAGTTATAGAGTATACTACACCAATATAATTTAAAACAACAATAGACCAATTGTTTTATTCAATAAAAGTTAGACATATGTTCTAACGAAAATTCAATTTAACAAAAAAAAAACAACTAAAACATACCTTAGTATAACAGGTTATATATATATATATATTGACATTATTATTAATTTATGATATTAATGGGACCATATATTTACATAGAGATTCAAAAAAAATTATTATCTTATTATCTTATCGAATTTTGTCAAATTTTATATTGGCCCGACTTGGGACCGGACAATTTTATTAATTTATAGTGTTTATTAATTTATCGAGTATTAATTTATAGAGGTTCTACTGTATATGGTCTTATTGGCCGCAGTGCCCAATAATTAGGGAACACATTGACTCGTATAATTTCTCATTAACTCTTTTCTTGCAATTGTATGTATAAACAAATTCATTTTTATATAACTACAAAACATAACGTTAATAAAAAGCCCCCCAAAAAAGGAAAAAAGCTGCAGTAAAAACGACACTAATTAAAATGAAATTGAATGCTAATTTTGGCACGTACTCCACCATCTCTGACAACATTTGGTACAGCAGTATCCAATCAGTACACGATTGAAACGGTCAAATTCACAATTAAAATTAATATTTTACTTTGACACGTCATCGAGTTGAAAATATTTACATCACAAAAACATACAGTTATCTCACGTAGGCCCACTTCGTCCACCTCCCTCGTTCTCCTTCTTCTTCGTCCTCTATATAAACACCATCTTTAGCTCCTCCTTCATCGAAATACAAAACCTTTCTCTCTATACAACAATGGCTGTTTTCGTTTTATCTCTACTCATACTCTCTTCCTTCTCAGCCATTTCCTTCACTTACGCTGGTTACTTCTCTTTTCATCATTTCTTCACAGAGTTTGTTTGTCTATTTTCGATTCTTGGATAATTCTCATGTCTTTGTTTGTTTTTGTTTTCCTTACAGATTCTGGGATGATCGGAGTAAATTACGGCCGTATAGCAGACAATCTTCCGGCACCGGAGAAAGTAGTCGAGCTGCTTAAAACACAAGGAATCAACCGCGTCAAGCTTTATGACACCGAGAAATCCGTACTAACCGCACTCGCAAACTCCGGAATCAAAGTAGTTGTCTCTCTCCCCAACGAAAATCTCGCCTCCGCTGCCGCAGATCAGAGTTACACCGACACTTGGGTTCAGGAAAACATAAAGAAATACATTCCGGCGACGGATATCGAAGCAATCGCCGTCGGGAACGAAGTCTTCGTCGATCCGAGGAACACGACGACGTATCTCGTTCCAGCTATGAAGAATGTTCAAAGCTCTCTCGTTAAGTTCAATCTCGACAAATCCATTAAGATCTCGTCGCCGATTGCTCTAAGCGCGTTGGCGAGTTCGTATCCACCGTCGGCTGGTTCTTTTAAGCCGGAGTTAATCGAACCGGTTATTAAACCGATGCTTGATCTCCTTCGCAAAACGTCGTCGCATCTCATGGTGAATGCTTATCCTTTCTTCGCTTACGCAGCTAACGCCGATAAGATCTCGTTGGATTACGCTTTGTTTAAAGACAACGCCGGAAATGTTGATTCCGGTAACGGATTGAAGTATAACAGTCTCTTAGACGCTCAGATCGACGCCGTTTTCGCCGCTATGTCTGCCGTTGGATTTAACGACGTTAAGCTCGTGGTGACGGAGACTGGCTGGCCTTCAGCCGGAGATGAGAACGATATCGGTGCTGGTTCGGCTAACGCGGCGGCTTATAACGGCGGATTAGTGAAAAGAGTGTTAACGGGAAACGGAACGCCGTTAAAACCGAAGGAGCCACTTAACGTTTATTTGTTTGCTCTGTTTAACGAGAATCAAAAAACAGGTCCGACTTCTGAGAGAAACTACGGGTTGTTTTACCCGAATGAGAACAAAGTGTATGACGTTTCGCTTTCTGGTAAGTCAACGCCGGTCAACGATAACAAAGAGAAGGTTGTTCCGGTGAAGCCATCGCACGTGGGACAGACGTGGTGTGTGGCGAATGGGAAAACGACGAAGGAGAAGCTTCAGGAAGGTCTCGACTACGCTTGTGGCGAAGGAGGTGCTGATTGCCGTCCGATTCAACCTGGTGCCACGTGTTATAATCCTGAATCGTTAGAGGCTCACGCTTCTTACGCGTTCAACAGTTACTATCAGAAGAACGCACGTGGTGTTGGCACGTGTGATTTTGGTGGTGCAGCGTACGTGGTCTCGCAACCTCCTAGTAAGTACCCGATCATTTCTCTCTCGAAATTTTATTATTTTACATATATAGTTATTTTCACATTCTTACTTTTCCTGAAAATCGTGAGAGAAATGGGAAAAATAGTTGGAAGATGGTTAGATAATAATTATGGGAGTTGGGATGGTTCAACAACAAATGTTATTTTTTGGCTTACTATTAGATTCTTACGTATACAGAACTATAATTAGATTATGACGTATAAACGGAAACATAAACGAAATTAATTAATTTTTGTTCGTTTTTGTGTTTGTAGGGTATGGGAAATGCGAGTTTCCAACAGAGCATTGAAATGGATAAGAAGAAGAAGGGATCGTGCGGATTTATTTAGTAGCATTTTTACGTTTTTAATTTAATACATTGTTTTGTCATTGGAGTATATGATTATTATTTATATGCGTAGATTAATTTTTCATTATTGTATATTTGGTTAGTTTCGTCGTATAATATATTCTCAGTTTTTTAAAACTCCTTGCCCCCTCTGCGTATCTAATAAACATTTCTATACTTAAGCTAGTTGCGTTGCCATTTAATTAATAACGTTACAAGGGAAAATAAGAAAAAGTGAATAAATTAATCTAACACTCGAATATATGTTTCGTTGGGATGTCTATGGTTCATCTTACGGTTATAGCGACTTGTACTTAAAAATGTATTTGATTCAATGTATTCTTTTTCTTATTCCATGTATTATGTATACTCTCTCAAAAGATACGTTTAGTTAACAATGTATACATTCTTTTATTTAAATAAAAACTGTTATTAAAAAAATAACTTATTTTATTTACTCTAACAATTTGCCGGGGAAAAAAAAAGCTAGCAATTTGAAAAGTTATAGATGGATCGGGCTTTTCCTCAAACAATGGCAAGGGGCTATGGATCAGGAGGGTATTTTGGGCCGGAACCCGGATCCGGTTATGGAAAACCGGGTTTAGCGTCAATCATAAGCGGCAAAAGCCTCACAACTCTGTTTTAAAAAATCCTCTCGTTCGTCGCCTTGTTTCGATCTCCTCTCGCAAATTCGAAATTAAAATGGTAAAATTCTCTTTGGCTTTTCTTCTTCTTCTTCTTCTTCGACGCTTAGGGTACGTTTCATTGATCTTTGGTTTTCACTGTCTCTATTCCGTTGATTTAATGTATTTGTTTCTGTGTTTTAGGCTAAAATCGTCAATAATGGAGGCAAAGGTAAGCGGAAGAGGACCACGAAGAAGGAAACTGAGAAGAAAGCCCGAGCAACCAAAACAAAGGAAGAGCCTGAGTACTTTGAAGGGAAACGTAATCTGGTATGATTTGCTCTTAGATTTAATCATGTATACTTACCTTATGTATTATTCATCACTTGGTTTCACGAAACCATTTTGGTGGTATCAGATTGGTATTGTGGGTTTATGTCTATGAGAAAAATTGAGGAGAAGAGAAATTTGCCAAAGAATTCTGAAGTGTGGTGGTGTATCTCATTTTTGAAATATTTTAACTTGAAAACAAAGGGCTTGTTTGCTTTCCTTATCGCTGCCTTGTGAGTGGCAAAATTTACATGTGTGCTTGTTTTTGTGTGTTTTCAGGAAGATTTGTGGAAGGCTGCATTTCCAGTGGGAACTGAGGTATATTATTTGTTTTGAGGAATTCATTTGGCTTCAACATCTTCGGAGTTACGCTCTCCATTTATGTTCTTTTGCTCATGGTTGTTAAATTGTGATGGCAGTGGCACAATTTAGATGCAGTTTATGATGAATTTAATTGGGATTTCAAAAGTCTTGAAGTAAGTTGTTTGGATCACATTCTCCATCTTTTGTTGTCTGTTGTTGTTGAGTCGACAAGTATTCTGGTATTTATGTTTCTTTGTTGTATATCAGGAAGCATTTGAGGAAGGAGGAATGCTCTATGGGAAGAAAGTCTTTGTTTTTGGCACTGCAGAACGTAAGATGTTTCTCTCGCTTATCTCTTTAACTTGTTTAAATAATCTTTGGCACTTGTGGTTCTTTCTAATTTGCGTTGAAATCTATTAGGTTGTGCTTTCTTTAGCTTTTGCTTCTACTTCCTGTTTCATTTTTCTCTTTTTATATTTACAGCTGACTTCTTGGAAGATGTAAACAAGACTGTCTATGTCCCAACAGTTGTTGTGGTAAGTTATTGTTTAAATCTCTACAAATGGTTTGTTTGCTATCACTGATTATATATTATCTCTATTCTCTCTTTCTAAGATTCTTCTAAATATGCAGATTGAATCACCTTTTCCTCCTTCTGAGAAGCTAGGAATAAAAGCGGTTCAGAGAGTAGAGGAGGAAATCGTTCCAATGAAGCTGATGAAAATGGACTGGGTTCCTTACATTCCCTTTGAAAATAGGTACTATGAGTTCCACGTGGATATGTTATACATTTGTTTGTTGTGACTTGGGATAGTTTAAATCATTGAAAAACTGCTAATTACTTTATGCTTTGTTCTTCTTGCAGAGACAGACAAGTTGATAGGGTGAACTTTCAAATTTTTTGCTTGGGCTGTACCCAGAGGAGGTAAGAAACATGTGTCACATGACTCAGTTAACAAAATCGATGTTCACTTGCTATGAAGGGATTCTGAGTTACATTAACTTTGTACATTATTTGCAGAGCTGCTCTCAGACATATGAAGGAAGATCGTGTTAAAATGTTTGAGTATTGCCTTCCTTGTAAGTTTTATTCTTCTACTACCAATACTAGTTAAAATGGGCAGAGGGTACCATTTGTAGCACATGGCAGGCTGTTCCTTATAATGTATCTGGTACACAACAATAAAATATAATATCTCTTTTTCTGTTTGCTTTGCAGATTTCTATAACCCATTGAAGGAAGATGAACTTGAACAGAGTACTGAGGTCGACATATTGTTCCCCTCTGAACCGCCGGTAAGTTTTCTGGCATGCAATGAATGTTGTGTTGGAAGTGGCAGTCATAGGGGCACTTTATTTTGGGTAAATTCTTTATAACCAAGCTTTAAGGTTTCTGTTTTGTGCAGGTTGTATGTGAATTTGACTGGAAGTTTCACAGACTTCAGGTGTGTGTTTGGCCTTTTTGTAACCATAAAACTGAGATTACTTCTTCATTTAGTTCAAGAGAGTGTTCATCTTTGCACTGCTCCTTCCTTGTGTGTTCGAAATTGCATTCATTGAATGCTGAATCTTGAGATGGCTTTTTTTTTTTGCATCTATCTCAGGAATTTGTCGATGATCTGATTGAAGATGAAGCATTACCTGCTGAACAAAAGGATGAATTCAAAGTAAGTTGAAACTGTAATGCAATCGTCAGTTCTTGACGGTTGAGTATTTTTTCTAATTACCATTGTTCCTTCTCTCAGGAATTCGTCAAAGAGCAAGTTCGAGCAGCGAAGAAAGCAAGCAAAGAGGCCAAAGTTGCTCGAGAGAAAGCAATAGAAGAAATGAGCGAAGATACTAAGGAAGCCTTTGAAAACATGAAGTTCTACAAATTCTACCCTCGGCATTCACCAGACGTCCCTAGGTTCAAGACGGTAAGAACAAAAGAAAAACAAAAAACCCGCCTTCTCCAATTAGTTTTATACTGTTTTTAAATTAATCATATAACTCGAAAAATGGGTTTTGACTATAGTTTGTCACAAAGCTTTGCATATGTGAATCATCTTTGCTTGCTCTCCTTTTCTTTTGCAGTCGTCATACATTAACCGATACTACGGGAAAGCTCATCAAGTCCTTTGATATGGAATCGTCAGAACTAAGAATAGCTATAATGCTTTTATAGTTAAAAGTCTGTAAACTTTTTAGTAATGAATTTGTGTTCTCCTCCAGAAATATTTAAGATCTTAGATGAGTCAGTTTAAATAGCAAGAATGTTTTGACATTTTGATTCCATTTTAAATCAAATTTTCAACACAGTAAGTACTTTCCAAAATCTTTGATGATGTGGAATGATTGACCTTCTTAATCTTCTCTACCCTATAAGAGTTTGTTGGGCAGTCTCTAAATATCCTTATGACTGTTTTGGGTGTTCTAGTCTTACCTACAAGTCATTGGCTAGATTAGAACATTGTTCTGTATCGGCCAAGACTAATTCTTTTGGGAAACCTTTTCTCTTTTCTTCATAAACCATTGAACCAAAAAAATCAAATCCAATGCCTCTCTCCACTACAAAACTCAATACCATATTATTGCTCCAAAGGTAGTACTAGTAGTAACAATGACAAGGCCTATGGATCAGGAGGGTATTTTGGGCCGGATTCGGATCTGAACCCGGGTCCAACTCTAGATTACCGGGTTTGAGTATCTGCGTCATTCCTAAGCTCACAACTCTCTCTGTTTAAAAAAACCTATCTTTCCTCTCTCTCTCGCCGCCTTCCTCTCACACTCTTCGCGTAGCTTCACTTTCGTCGATGGTAAACTTATCTCTCCTTCTTTGCCTTGATTTTCTTCTTACTCGATTCTACTTTGATTTCTAGTATTTGCACTTTCTTCGATTTCGCGTGATCTGTTGATTTTTCTCATCGTTAATTGACAGGCATTACCTAACCAGCAAACCGTGGATTACCCAAGCTTCAAGCTCGTCATCGTTGGTGATGGAGGCACAGGTACCAAATCCCATCTTCAGCTATATTTTGGTTTTAGAAATATATACAGATGATTGATTTGTTCGATTTTGGATCAAATTGCTTTGATATAGTTTACCTGCTTAAGAGCTTGATTTTGTTACTTACTTGTCCATGCTTAAAATACGTTTCTACAAGTAATCTTGATGAGTAATGTTCAATTTTGCTTTGAGTCAGTTTGTCTGTCTAGAGCTTAATGTTACCTATCTATGCTTAATATGTGTATGTATAAGTAATCTTGATCTGTCGCAGCTCAATTATGAGATTGTCCTTAATGGTTTCAGTAGTTGATGCATTTGGCTATGATTAGAAATACAATTCTTGAGTTTGCTGCTTTGACTTAGTTTGTGATGTTACTTATTTTTTTTTAATTACTTATCCATGCTTCAAATATGTTTTTATGAGTAATTTTGATCTGTCTCGGTTCAATTCGGAGATAGTTTTAGTGGTTGAATGCATTTGGATAACCCTTTGATAAATTTTGGGTGGATGTTTGTTCGTTTCACAGGGAAAACCACATTTGTAAAGAGACATCTTACTGGAGAGTTTGAGAAGAAGTATGAACGTAAGTTCTTGCAAGCAAGCCCCTCCTTGAAACCTTTTATTCACGACTTCACCGATTCTGATGTCTTTTTGTTTTCTTGCAGCCACTATTGGTGTTGAGGTTCATCCTCTTGATTTCTTCACTAACTGTGGCAAGATCCGTTTTTACTGTTGGGATACTGCTGGCCAAGAGAAATTTGGTGGTCTGAGGGATGGTTACTAGTAAGTACAGATTTTGATTTAAAGCTCAATAGCATGATCGCTAGCTAGCAACATGATTAGCTATCTATAAGGTTATTGTTGCAAATACTTTATTTGATACAAAATATGTGTTTTGTTTTGTTACAGTATCCATGGGCAATGTGCCATCATCATGTTTGATGTCACAGCACGTCTGACATACAAAAATGTTCCAACATGGCACCGTGATCTTTGCAGGTATGAACTCACACACAGAAGTTAGACCTTCTAGTCCTTTGTTGTATGCTAAACGATAATGTCATCAAATTTCATGCTGCAGGGTTTGTGAAAACATCCCAATTGTTCTTTGTGGGAATAAAGTTGATGTGAAGAACAGGCAAGTCAAGGCTAAGCAAGTAACTTTCCACAGGAAGAAGAATCTCCAGTATTACGAAATATCTGCCAAGAGCAACTACAATTTCGAGAAGCCATTCTTGTACCTTGCTAGAAAGCTCGCCGGGTAAGCAACAGTTCAAATCAACCCTCATTGTAGTATTGTGAAACAACAAAGAAAATGAAAATTGAGAATGTTGCTTGCTTGTCTCAGGGACCCTAATCTTCACTTTGTGGAATCACCTGCCCTTGCTCCTCCGGAAGTTCAAATCGACATGGCTGCTCAGCAGCAGTAAGTTCTCTAAAACTAATTTGTTGCTAAGTGTTGATGTTTGAGGCTTTACTTTCAGTTAACGATTATATATTTATTTATAGGCATGAGGCGGAGCTTGCAGCGGCAGCAAGTCAGCCACTTCCTGATGATGATGATGACACCTTTGAGTAGAGAGAGAGAGATGTGATCCGTCACTGATACCCGTTAGGGCTTGTGTGAACCTTTTTGTTTTCATGGTGCTATTTTTATGTGTCGTACTTTTCAAAATGAATTGATGACATTAGTAATTTTCTTTTTTAAGTTTTTAACTGTCGCTATGAAAGTGAAAACCTTTTGATTACATAACTTACATGCTTCACAATTTCATATGTTTTTCATATTCATCCTTGCCGCACTTTCTAATCATAATTCATTCCAAAAGATTCAACATACATACACCACTTATCCAATCACAACTAAGTGAATCATAATTCAATCAAAGGTCCAACGTACTTCATCACTTGACCTTAATTCCATCTATGTTTTGCTTACTAGCTCAAGAAGCTTCTCCTTGAAAAAAGATGCGTATTTATCCTCTCAGTTGACTATATCAAGAATCTCTCAACAACTTGAGTCTTAAAATAAAGTCATTGTTTCTCGATAATAAGTACTATCTATATTTCTAAGTATGTAGCTTCATCATTTGAGGATGCACCAACATTTCTCTTTACTATGATGTGTCACCCTCGAGCACAGATTCATTTTACCTCAACTATCAATTGAAACCATAAAGCTCGTACACTGATAAAAAAGATACAAAGTCTTAAATCTTAAATATATTACTACAAAGTTTATTTTAGCATATTTGGCCTCAACAATATCTAGAAAACAAAAGACAAAATCATCTTCCTCCAAAACTTTGACTACACCATAATTTATATGAACCACCAAAATCATTTGACATTATGGTTTGATAAACTATTAAGATACATATATATAGCTTCAAATTTATGTCTTTCGAAAATCTCTCAAAGCGCTTCAAGATCTTTTACATTAAACTCTCAAGACAAGAACTTTGTTTATAGAGTTGTCACTAATCAGTATATATACATCAAGGCCCAATAGGCGGACATATATTATATTTTTTCATGAAGGCATCAAGCTCGTCAAACAAAAACTCTAATTTTTTTTGTACAAATACCGAACCTGAGATTAGATTGAGTTATTAAATTAAACATGCACAAAACCTAAGCAATAAGATGATTGCGAGGAGTCTTCATGATCATAAACAAAGTTGTTATTTGCTGACACCAGAAGGATGTTGCGCGGGATGTTTTTCTCAGTGGTTGTCTCAATAGCGTGAAAGATCATATGTTTCATGATATCGATATCGGCTACGTCCGTCTTACTCTCGTAAGAATCATATAAAAAAAAGATGAAAGTAAGAGAAAGAACGAGAGAAATGAGAAAACAAAAATCATTCTACTATAGAGATGGATCTTACCATTGAGATAAGATGCTGATTTCACATCAATTCTCCACACCCAGCACACTTGACGGTTTTGTCTTTACATCGATCATTTCGAAACCACGAGTTCTCCACACCCAGCACACTTGGCGGTTTTAGTTTTTCGTAGCCAATCGGTGTGCCATGAAGGAAATATTCAACGTTGAGTGTTCACAACGATGTTCCAAATGTTAACCATCAGTTTATCTAAATTTGTGGTTATCCATTTTCTAGAGTATGAAGAGAAGATCAAACATGTTGTATTATTTCTACCACCTGATCTTTTAAAGTGTAAACAATAATTAAAGAAAACGAATATAAAAACGATATGAACAACTGACCAAACTTGTGGAGTCGCCAAGAAAATCGGTGGTCGAAGGGTTTTCTTTATTTATATATTTTTTATTTGCGTTTTAGGACATCTCTAATAAAGGTATCTAAATTTAGATACTCTCTATCAGGTGCACACAAAAAAAAAAAATACTCTCCATCAAAACGGATCATGGATTGATATAATTTTGCTTTGAGTACATTCAAAATTTGCACCTAAGATTTTTTCTTCGAGTCATAAGTCATTAACGAATCGTTAAGGGTATTTTCGTAAATTGATATAACCCCAAAGAAGATTTTGCTTCCTCCCCAAGAAGAACGTTTTTGCCTTTTTCACCTTCCATAGGCCGACTCTCAGAGTCATACGATAAATTAATAAAAAGTTTCGATTTTTGCTTTTCTTCTTCGATTCATTGCGCGAATCTTCCGTGATGTTGGTGTCTAGGGTTTTATCGAGAGTTTCTCGCAGCGCAGGCTTACGCTCGTCTCTCTCCTCCGTCGCTACTCCGAAGAGGAATCAGATTCCGATTGTTTCAAGCCGATTTCACTCCCTCGTTCACGGAAATCCCAACAAGGTTAGGTGTTTAAGCCGATTTTGGTTTTAATTCGTTCTCAATTTCATGGTCGGGTTTTGTAAGGGTTTAAGGGGTTTGTAAAAACGAATCTCTCGTTTGGAAAATTTGACGTCTTTAGTAAAATGATTGTTATGTTCTGATTCTATTGCTCTCTGGTCTTCGTTATTACAGTGGCACGAATTTAGGTGTATATGTCTTAATGTAAATATTTTGATTGCTCTTTCATATGTCTGAATTTTTATGCAAAATTGATTTGCGCAATTCTGGCAATCCTTGTGAATTTGAAAGCTGAGAAATAGCTCATTCTAGGATTATTTGGACAGTGAATTTACTAAATTTGGATCATTTTTTAATGGCAGCTTGTTGCAGTTCCAGTGTCGCTCCTAAACCATGGAACTCTAGATTTGAATGTTCTTCAAAGGTTCGGCTTTTTTTCTTCTTCCTCAGCTGAACCTAAGGGAAATGAGAGTAACACCGAAGTACCAAAGACCGGCGAAGCTTCTGAGGATGTGGAGGTGGGGAGAGATACAGGTGAGGGAAATGAATCATGTATTGACTTAGAATAAAGAGAGATACTGTGTCTAATTCTGCACAAAGAAGTTTGATAGGTTGGTTACTGAACGAATTTCTCTTTCTGATTTCCAGATGCAGAGATTGATTTCGACAATTTGTCAAGAGACGATTTGGTGAAGCTTGTGGGTGAGAAGGAAGATCTCTTGAAGGTTCAGCAAGAAGACATAAAGGAAATGAAAGATAAATTTCTTCGTACTTATGCTGAGCAGCAGAATCTAATGGACAGGACTAAACGTAATGCTGAAAACGCCAAAAAGTTCGCCGTACAGGTTTACTTTTCTGCTCCGCGAATCCTTTTTCTTCTTCTTGAATTAACTCGTTTTGCGTCATATATAATCCAGTGCTGAATATGTTTGTTGTATTGCAGAACTTTGCAACGAGCCTTTTGGATGTGGCGGATAATCTTGAAAGAGCTTCTTCAGTTGTCAAAGAGAGTTTTTCGAAGATCGACACTTCAAAAGATTCGGCTGGTGCTGCTCCACTGTTGAAAAACCTATTAGAAGGAGTGGAGATGACTGAGAAACAATTAGCAGAGGTAAAAACATCCATTATTTATCTTTGAGGTAAATAAAGATAAGATGAGACTGGTGCTGAGAATGCAATTTTGCAGGTGTTTAAAAAATCTGGTTTGGTGAAAGAAGATCCTTTAAATGAACCATTTGATCCAAACAAACATAACGCAGTGTTCCAAGTCCCAGATGCTTCCAAGCCAAAAGGCACAATTGCTCATGTCCTAAAGGTACTAAACCATTTATTCAAAGGATTGCTCTTTTTCTTGCTATAACTCTTAAGCTTATGTTAGCTTTTGCAAGTCCACACAATATCATGGATTCTCTGCCATCAGTTTATAACTTTGTGGTAACTGTTTGTTTCCATATTTGCAGCCTGGATACTCATTGTACGATCGAGTTATAAGGCCAGCTGAGGTTGGTGTTACTTGCGCTGTGGAGAATCAAGAAGGCGAGAAAGAGTCTGCAGCTTGAAAAACTTAAACAACGAGAGTTAAGCTTTGTTTTAACATCTTCATGAGTTATTTTTTTAGTTAATAGTTCTCTTTCTTGCATATTCATTGGAGGAACAAGATTCCCATAAGGTAGCATGACTTTGCTCTGTACTTCCAGGGAAGCCCTGGTTCTGTAACTTTACACAAAATTTCATGAGCCAAACTCTTGGTAAAAGCTTCAAATCGTACATATATATAACTTCTTCTAACTTACAAACACACTACATAGAAACATCAAAGTGCAATAAACGCCTAGAATAAGATACAATATGAGACATCATCACAGCTACAACAATACCAAATGCTGACACTTTTATCGTTGATTCATGCTAATCCAATATGATCCTCATCATTCGTCAGTCCCTTCAGAATTCAGACACAGTCCCAGATTCAAGTTCCCAGTTTTTGCTTCCTGCAGAGCAAGTATAAACACAAGTATGAACAAAACTCAACACTTTCATTAGAGTGCTAAATATTTGAATGAAGCTAACCTTAGTTTGGTCTGAATCTGTTATGTTCATGTCAAGCTCAACAGCTTTAGGCAATGGAGATTCAGTGTCGAATTCTTCAGTCTCTTCAATTTCAGAATCCTTAGCAATCACTTTCTCTCTATGCTCAAGCATCGCAATCTACACAGTAATCAATCGATCATTTCAACTAAACCCTAATTTAATGATTTTGTTCCAAATTTGGGGGAATAAACTTACCGGAGCATATCTGAATCTTCGCTTAGGTGGCTCCTCCGTCTCACCGGAACCATTAGCGTCGGAGGCAGTAACCGTCGCCGAAGTAAGTGGAGTCCACTTATGGAGAAGTAGATGGTGAGGTGAGTTACTGTTACTGTTGTTACGACCGTTGGATTTAGATGCTCTGAAAACACCGACGGATGAGGTTGAGACACGTACCCACTTCTTCTTCCACTTCCTTACACGGCCACTGAATACCGCCGTCGCCGCCGGACCACTGTATCTCGATGAAGTCCGGCTCAATCTCGATCCTACACCTTCCATAGTCAATCTCTCGCTTCTATCTCTCTCTCTCTCACTAGCCGGAAAATAGTTGCTTTATCTATCAGCTTCAAAACGCTGCGTTTTAATGTGATGTAGCTTGAAAACACTGCGTTTTACTGAGAAATTTGTTAATTAGTCGAAACGCAGCGTTTTAAGGAGATAACTCTATTTATCTGAAAGTAGCTAAAGAAGAAGTGGCGCTTCATTCATTAGCTCTAAGCAAGAAGAGAGAGCGAAAATGGAGCTCTGTGTTATCAGCACGACGGCGACGGCGAAGACGATTAATCCTTTTCTTCCGTCCATTACACGCCGTGTTAACTCCCGTCTCTTCCAATCAGATAGTGTGTTACAGTTTGGTGGGAGGCTGAAGAAACCAATTAGCAGTCCTTTGGAGATGTCTTGTGTTTCTAGAAATTTTGGATTTCTCGGAGGTTCTATGTCTATTCGCGGTGGTGGTGACTTTAGGCTGTTCGCAGCGGCGTCTCCGGCGGTTGAAACCAGTCTAAAGGAAGACAAGCTTCCAGCTGATCTTAAGGTCACCGAGACTGTACAGGCGAATTCAAGTGTAAGGGATTTCAAATCATTTTGTCTCTTTGTTGTAGGAGAATCTGTGTGGCATTGTGTTTGGTCTGAGTTTTGACATGACTTGAAATTTGATGTATTGTTCGATTTAGGTGAAATTGAGTGTGGAAGTTCCAGCCATTGTTTGTGAAGATTGTTACCAACGAGTTCTAACAGAGTTCATGAAACTCTCAAAGGTAAATTAATATTTCATCTTACATCAAGAAAAAATGTCGAGACTTGATCCATGTAATGCTTGTTGTTTATTGGATTTTGTATTTAAATTAGGTGCCTGGATTCCGTCCTAAAACAAGAGTTCCAGAGAATATTATTGTTGGTTTCGTTGGGAGGCAATACGTTTTGAGAGCAACTGTTGAATCTATCTTGAAGAGAACACTTCCTCACGCCATGGAATCAGTAAGTTGTCAATTTTTTTTTATATTAGTTTGATTATGCTTTTCAATCTTCCACTGTTTAAGAGACTGATTTGTGAAGAAGAACAAGTCTTGTGACGTATCTGAATTCGGTGTTTGTTGACTTGGAACATTTTTCATATGAGATTTTGGTTTTTGTAGGTGACTGGAAGGGCTTTAAAAGACTCGATACAGATTGTAAGCAGCTTTCCAGATATGGAAAAGGCTTATTCTAAGCTCAAGACTCTTAGGTTTCTGTTTATTCTTCACATATGCGAAAATCTGAACAACAGTTTAGGTATAATGCTTGCTAACTAACTTTACATGTTTTTCTGATTTTCTCTTGTCCCTCAGTTATGAGGTGGTTGTTGATGTTGTACCTGAACTAAGATGGAATCCTGAGGATGGGTATAAAAATATGAAGGTCGTTGTAGAATTAGGCGATGAGATTGACGCCAAAAAAGCTTGTGAAAGACAACTAAGACAGAAATACAAGTCCCTTGGTGCGCTGAAGATTGTAACTGACCGAGGGCTACAGGTAAATGAATGCATAACTCCCCATGTCCTTGTATTGTTTTTCTGCAACTAGTACGGTTTCCTTTCGTTGTTCATTTGCAATCATTGAAGGACGCTAATACTTTAAAAGGACCAACCTTTTACCTCGTTACAGTTAAGATCAGCCTCTATAGCTATGTAGATAAAGATGTAAGCTTATTTCAAAATTTGGTTATGAATCTGGCTGCATTAGTCCATATAACTCTGCAAAGATGATATAGTTGCTTTTTCATTATATCCTAAAAGGCTAATAAATACCATGTAGGTGGGAGATCTTGCAGTCGTTGATATTTCTGCTACAACTATAGATGAGGATGGATCAACGGGTCAAGCGATTCCAGATGCGGAAAGCAAAGGTTTCAGAACTATTATATTTCAACAGAGCCATATCTCTTACTCCATTGAAATCATCGTTCCCGTTTGCAAATGAATGCTGAGATTTGCGGTTATGTGTACAGGTTTTCACTTTGACACTGAAGAAGGGAATAGATTACTTCCTGGATTCCTTGATTCAATCATAGGAATTAGAGCAGGCGAATCGAAGTCATTCACGCTTGTGTTTCCTGAATCATGGAAACAAGAAAGTCTCCGTGGCCAACGTGCTCAATTCACTGTGAGTTCGTTTTCCTATACCAAAATGAATAAAAAGATGATAACCAAGAGATCATATTTGGGAAAGCTAATCGTGTATGCTTTCTTCAGGTTGACTGCAAGGAACTTTTCTACAGAGATTTACCAACATTAGATGACTCACTTGCTGATAAATTGCTTCCTGGATGCACCACTTTAAAGGAGGTAATGAACACCTGGATTTTATTTTCAACAACTTATACAAAAAAGTTTGTCTTCTCTCAGTGTAATTTGCTAATGAAACAAGTAAACAGGTTGAAGAAACTCTGGCTAAAAGATGTCAAGAGATGGAGCAGGAAGCCAAGGAGCAAGCGACAGACAACGCCATCCTTGACCAGATTCGAAAGGTCATAATCTAATTCCGTATATCATTTGAAGCAGTAACATCATTGATCTGTGTGATCGAAAACATCCTTTGCTTATTTTGTTTTAGATGGTTGAAGTAGAGATTCCTCAATCCTTATTTGAGGAACAAGGAAGACAGTTTTATGGAGCTAGGCTTCTAGAGATTCAGGCAAGTGTTTTCGATGACTGTTGTTTTGATCTCTATCTCTTACGCTCTTTTACTGTCACTCAGATTCTTAGTGTTGAACATGGTGCTGCAGGGAAATATGAAGCTCAACGAAGACCAATTGGCTTCTCTTTCAAGTCAAAAAGCAGTAAATGAGTTTCTAGAAACTCAAAGAGAGAGCATTACCAACATAATCAAGCAGAATTTGGCTGTCGGAGATATCTTCAAGCGCGAAAACTTAGAGGTATATATATATATGCATAATTCTCTTGTCTCCGAGAAAGAAAGAAAACATTTTTAGTAACAAAACTTTGTCAAATTACTTGAATGCAGTTCTCAACAGATGAACTCGTTAAAGAGGTCGAGAACTCGATCTCAGAATTCAAGAAACATAAACAAGAGTATGACGAAGAGCGTGTGAAAGATCAGGTTAGTTTTCTTGTGAATCTAAGTATTATCATTTTCTTGAGCTATATAAGTACACTCAAAAAGAGAGAGGTTCTTTTTGAATTGATGGTTAGGTACAAGAGATTTTAGAAGGAGCAAAAGTGCTTGAATGGTTGAAAGACCGAGCCGAGATTCAATACATCACTCGTTGATTAGCATAGGTAATGTATGTATGATTGGCATGTTATGTTTTTGTATGAGCAATTTGTTTTTTGAGTTTGTGATGATTTGATTTTGTCACAAGAAGAGAACTTTTACTACTATATTTGATGATTGTTTGTAAGATTAATAGGGGCAATAAATTATTTCCAAAAACATTGCTTTTTATTTTGTAATTTAGTTCACTTTTTGATTTTATAATCAATGTGTTTTATTGGATATAGATGGTATAGATATAAGTATTTACGTCGATTTCATATTGAATTTGCCAACTAACATTGACTATGACTTGTTTTTTATTACAACCAAAAACAAAGACTTCGTCGTTTCTAGTTTGGTTCTGTATGGATTCTTGACTAATTTTCCCTCTGTCCTCATCACTTTTGCTACTTGTCTTAGCTGTATTTACGAACTACTTCCTCATGATCCATGTTAAATTTTTAAAAGGTAAATTAAATTTCACCAATCCTAGTACTTGCACTATTTTCCCAACTAATAATAAATAATTCAATACAAAAAAAAGTTTCTAACTAACTAGTGATAGAGTTATTAGTTAGGAATAAAATCGAAGATATTGCTAATTTGAAAACACAATTTTATACAAGTTCAGCATTTCTCCGGATAACTTTTCATCTATTTTGAATGCAAGATTGTACTGTCAAAGATGTCAATGTTTGTTTTGAGTATTTCAAACTACATTTATAATTCTATTTACTTAAAAGATATTTGATAATTTATGTACATCTTTGTCTAGAAAGTTTCCTTGTCAACTGTATATTATATTAATTCAAAATTCTTAAAATGTTTTATCCTCTTGCATCATACTTTTTTAAAAAAAGAATATGAATTTCGATTGATAGCAACGATAAATATTTACAGTATCGTAATTGGACAATATACATACATCTAGTGATCTACTTATATGGTCCCTAAAACGTAGTAATTGGTAAACAACTTTGGTTGTACAGTAAATGTTTTTGTAGAGCTACACATAACAGTTACATCTTTAAATAACCATAAGTTAACTTGGTTAGAAAAACCAAAAACTATTGAAGCATTTATTTAGTTCCGAGAATCTAGTGGTGATTATTGCACTGTAAGAAAAGAAAAGTAAATAACTTGTGTGGTCAAACAAGCAAAGAACCAAGTCAAGGAAGAGTTAAAAAAAAAAAAAAAAGACACAAGTCTGTCTGTGAAAAGTGTCATGTTTGTAAATAAAGCAGAAAACTAGGGGTGAATATTTGGTGTTTGTTCCATCGTAGTACAAAAAAAAAAAGATGGGGTCCCACACTCACCTCTCCGTCTCTTCCACCTCCATAGATAGATTTTTTTTCCTTCCTTTGCTAAAATGATTTTATCTCACTCTCAATAGTGTGAGTTTTGTCATAGAGAGAGCTTCAGATCTAGAAGAAGAAGCAGAGTTTATAAGGACAATCCCATTTTAAACCCTAGAAATCCAGTGTCAATCTCGGTAATAAAAGTTTTTCCTTTTTTTTCTTTTTACTGTTAGATTTGATCAATTTTGAGGTCTTTAGTCTGTTACTTAAGGTTTTGATTGCTTTGGTTTTATCACCAATGCTGTTCGATTCTCTTGAAGTTTCTGTTTTTTGTACAGAGATCTGCTTCTTCTCTCTGTGCTTTGCTTCTACTTGATCGGATTTTAGATTTTGCATTCTTAGCTTGACTTTGTTTGCTTTCTATGTCATGGTGAAAAAAGCTTTTTGAGCTTCGTAAGTTAAGACTTTAGTTTCCGATTCTGAATGTTTGGTCTGTGGAGTTGAATCTTTGGTTAGAGTGATTAAGGGGTTTTGGATTCCCAAAAAGATTGCAACTTTGATTAAGTATCTTTTGGTGTTTGTTATTATTTTGTTCTTAGTTCAATTTCATTATTATTTTGATGCATAAGTAAGATCTAATTTTCAGCGATGTCCATTAATCACTCTTAGTTTAGTTATCGTCTCTAATTGGTATTTGTTTTTGATATTTTCTGCAGGAAACCTTCTGATTTTGCGACAATGGCAGTCACAGATGCTGAAAGTCCTCATCTTGGGGAAATTACTTGTGGTACCTTACTTCAGAAGTTGCAGGTAAATCTCCACCTAAGTATTAGGGCTTTACTCAATCTTGTGTAATGTCAACTTCTTACGAACCTTTTACAATAGGAAATCTGGGATGAAGTTGGTGAGAGTGATGAGCAACGAGACAAACTGCTTCTTCAGATAGAGCAAGAGTGTCTTGATGTTTACAAGAGAAAAGTTGAGCAGGCTGCGAAATCCCGAGCTGAGCTTCTTCAAACCTTGTCAGATGCTAATGCTGAACTTTCCAGCCTCACAACATCTCTTGGAGAGAAAAGCTTAGTTGGCATTGTAAGTTTTGTCCCAAGTTTAGAAGTGGAAAATGTAATTGAAGTGTTTTTTTTTTTATAAGTGATTTATGTCTTTTGTTTCTTCTGTTGTTGCAGCCGGATAAGTCTTCAGGAACGATTAAAGAACAACTTGCTGCTATAGCACCAGCTCTTGAACAACTGTGGCAACAGAAAGAGGAGAGAGTCCGAGAGTTCTCTGATGTACAATCACAAATTCAGAAGATATGTGGAGAGATTGCTGGAGGTTTGAGCAATGAGGTTCCTATAGTCGATGAGTCTGATTTGTCACTGAAGAAATTAGACGATTTCCAGAGCCAACTCCAAGAGCTCCAGAAAGAGAAGGTAAACTTTGAGTTAGGAATCTCTGGATAATGTGATATGTTCCTTATGTTTTCCTTACCAACTGCGCTGTCTTGGCAGAGTGACAGGCTGCACAAGGTGTTAGAGTTTGTGAGTACTGTTCATGATCTATGTGCCGTTCTTGGTTTGGATTTCTTAAGCACCGTCACTGAAGTTCATCCGAGCTTAGATGAAGAAACCGGTGTTCAGTCTAAGAGCATTAGCAATGAGACACTTTCAAGGTTGGCTAAAACTGTCTTGACTCTTAAAGATGATAAGAAGCAAAGACTTCAAAAGGTAAAGACACTCTGCATTCTTAATTTGTTTAAAATTATTTCTGTTTAATTATACTGTTGCATCAATGAATCTTTGTCTTTTGTTGTTGTAGCTTCAAGAGCTGGCTACTCAGCTAATTGACCTGTGGAATCTGATGGATACTCCTGATGAGGAAAGGGAGCTTTTTGATCATGTTACCTGTAACATTTCATCTTCAGTGGATGAGGTCACTGTGCCAGGTGCTCTTGCACGTGATTTGATCGAGCAGGTAATTTATATTGCATTGATCAATCTTCCTATGTGCTCTGAAATATCAGTTACTGCTTGCTAAAATTCATGTAAAACTTGTGAAGGCTGAGGTGGAAGTGGATAGGCTTGACCAGCTGAAAGCTAGCCGGATGAAGGAAATTGCGTTCAAGAAGCAATCTGAGCTTGAAGAGATATATGCTCGTGCCCATGTAGAAATAAACCCGGAATCTGCTCGTGAGAGAATCATGTCGCTGATTGATTCCGGAAACGTTGAGCCTACTGAATTATTGGCAGACATGGATAGCCAGATAGCAAAGGCTAAGGAAGAAGCATTTAGTAGAAAAGATATATTAGACCGAGTCGAGAAATGGATGTCAGCTTGTGAGGAAGAGAGCTGGCTAGAAGACTACAATCGGGTAATGCATAGTTTTCTGAATTACACAATATGTACACCATAATACATTGACTTTGAATTGGATCTTGAGCATTTCCATGGTTTCGTTTTCTGAGAACAGGATCAGAACAGGTACAGTGCAAGCAGAGGCGCACACTTGAATCTCAAGAGAGCTGAGAAAGCTCGGATTCTAGTTAGCAAGATTCCTGGTATGTGTAGACTAACTAAGATATACTTGTAAACTTCTCTCATGTATTCAAATCTTATAGAGGTTGGATCTTTTGTTTTGTATAAAGCCATGGTTGACACATTGGTTGCCAAGACCCGGGCGTGGGAAGAGGAACACAGCATGTCCTTTGCCTACGATGGTGTTCCTCTGCTAGCAATGCTAGACGAGTATGGTATGCTTAGGCAAGAACGAGAAGAGGAGAAACGGAGGCTGAGGGTAAGTTCATCATTTCTACTCGATTATGATAAGGCGAATATGTTAGTCACTCTCTAAACTCCTCTTTGTCTTAATGAACAGGAACAAAAGAAGGTTCAAGAACAGCCACACATAGAGCAAGACTCTGCCTTTAGCACCAGGCCAAGCCCTGCAAGACCGGTCAGTGCTAAAAAAACGGTGGGGCCACGAGCTAACAACGGAGGAGCCAATGGAACACCAAACCGGCGTTTATCTTTGAATGCAAACCAGAATGGAAGCAGGTCTACTGCAAAAGAAGCAGGGAGAAGGGAGACTCTCAACAGGCCGGCTGCTCCCACAAACTACGTTGCCATTTCGAAAGAGGAAGCTGCTTCATCACCGGTTTCTGGTGCTGTAGATCATCAAGTTCCAGCTTCACCATGATGATTTGAAAAAAATGAAAAAAGATCTGTAATTTTCACTGTTTGAGTTTGTTTTAGGAAGAGAAGGCTCTATGAAACACCTGAAAGAAGACAAAAAGACATTTGAGAGTAGAATGGTGTACTAGAATGTGTATGTGTGTGTGTGTTTTTTTAGTGTTGTTTTGATAGTTAGTACGGTATCATCTCGACTCAAAAACAACCTTTTTACCTGCAAAAGGCTTCTCTAGGGTTTATATGGGCCTTGACATAGAAAGCCCATAAGAACCTATATCAAGATCTTTGTCCAAGTTTAATAGCGTCCTCAAATAGGCAAGACGAGATCATTCAGTTTTTTTTTTTTTTTTTTTTTTTTTTTTTTTCGTTCTATAGAAAATGTATCATTGTTATGAAAATTGTGTTCCAACCAAAGCCGAAATATTTGGTTAATTGGTTTTATTTGGTTCAGAATTCTCTAAAATCGAAATTTATATTTCAGCTTTTCTATGTGGTAATTTAAATTCTTTTCTTATAAAGATTTGTTATTTTGGTTGGTTTGGTTAATTTTGTTTTCTCACTTCAATTATGCTTGGTTATGTTAGGTAAGGTTCTAGTGTGAAAACATTGTTACGGTTCAGTTCGAAAATTTCGTTCTTGTTTCTATATCAACTTTAAGTGACAAGTGTCCTTGACTCGTGTGAAGGGTGAAATTAGGAGCTAGAGATGGCAAACGGTGGCATTGTCGTGCGTGCATATCCGCCACGGAGCATCAAAATGTTTCGGTCTTCACTTCTTCCTAATTTGTTCATTTCCCTTCTCGCTGTAGAGGGAGAGAGAGAGCAAAATGACGACGATGGAGAGGATGGAGAGAGACGCAATGGAGATAGTGGCTCCTTACGCTCCGATCACTTATCACCGCCGTGTTCGTGGTGACTTGGACGACACACTTCCCAAACCTTGTACTTCTTCCTAAACCTATCTTTTCATATTCAAATATATTCATGATGCGTGACTCGTACGCTACATAACAAATTCTGATGATTAGATTTGCCGAGAGCACTACAAGCACCTGACATGGAACACCCGCAAGGAACACCAGAGCATAGGCATAATGGCCTTAGTGTTCTTCAGCAGCATGTCGCTTTCTTTGATTTGGATGATAATGGCATTATTTATCCCTTTGAAACCTTCACTGGTAAACCATTAATTCAATCTCTCCATATGTATAGTTATGTACATACCGGTTTATATAATTACTGGTTTTTGTATACATATATATACAAATTTGAATTCCACCAGGATTCCGGTTACTTGGTTTCAATTTACTCGCATCGCTTATCTTGGCCGTTGGTATCAACATAGCTCTTAGCTATGCTACTCTCCCGGTACAGTACAAATATTTTGGTTTAACTTAATTTAGCTATACCGGACCTGGTTATATGATTGTTAGGTTTGTGATCGATGGAACAGGGATGGTTACCGTCTCCGTTCTTGTTGGATTAAGCTTGAATTGAGGCCCAAGAAAACAAAGTCGGTTTGTAATAGGTTTTAGGATAAAGTCTAATAAGATTTAGGAGTTATCTAGATCTTAAGGTTAGTCGGTTTATGAGACTTCTAAAACCCTATATATATGTTTATTGAGCTTGTGATAAACATATGAGTTGTAGAAGAGATTAAGAGATTAGAGCTTTAGGTTTTTGAGAAAGTTTTCCTAAGGAAATAAAGAGAGATATTCTTTAACTTTGAGTTCTTAATCTTGTTTTACATTCTAGAATTGGTATCAGAGCGTGAAAAGAGATTGTGAAACAAACAAACGTGAAAGAGACATGGGAGACATCATTCCCGCGACGGGAAAAACAAAAGATGGAGGAGGATCATCCTCTATCAAGTGTCCTATGTTAAATTCAACCAATTACACGGTATGGGCTATACGAATGAGATCAGCACTTAAAGTTCATAAAGCTTGGGATGTAATAACGGCTACAACAGGCGACATCGATGTAGAGAAGAATGACATAGCTACTGCTCTACTCTTCCAATCAATCCCAGAAGCTCTAGTATTACAAATCGGAGAACTTGACACAGCCAAGAAAGTGTGGGAATCAATTAAGACTAGACATGTGGGAGCAGAGAGAGTCAAGGATGCTAGGTTACAAACTCTCATGGCCGAATTCGACCGACTTAAGATGAAAGATTCTGAGACGATTGATGACTTTGCGGGCAAGATATCTGAGATATCATCAAAATCAGCTGCCCTAGGTGTAAACATCGAAGAATCAAAATTGGTTAAAAAGTTCTTAAAGAGCATTCCTCGGAAAAGATACATTCATATAGTCGCATCTTTAGAACAAGTATTAGATCTTAATGCAACAACCTTTGATGATATAGTAGGACGGTTGAAAGTCTATGAAGAACGTGTATTTGACGAAGAAGAACCACATGAAGACCAAAACAAACTCATGTATGCTAATATGGATTCCACAACTGGATATTCAAACCGAGAGTATGGTAATGAATACAGAGGAAGAGGACGTGGAACACGAGGTAACTACAGAGGAAGAGGTCGTGGTCGTTCTAATGGAGGAAGAGATACTTCAAGAATAACATGTTTTCGGTGTGATAAATTAGGTCATTATGCCTCTACATGTCCTGATCGATTACTCAAACTCCAAGAAGCTCAAGAACAGAACAATGATGACACACAAGAAGCGGATGAACTTATGATGCATGAGGTTGTATACTTGAATGAAAAACACTGCATCCCTAGTGAATATGAGACAAACTCTGGAGAAGAAAACATATGGTACCTTGACAATGGAGCAAGTAACCATATGACTGGAGACAAGAGATATTTCTCAAAGCTTGATCACTCTATTACGGGTAAAGTGAGATTTGGAGATGATTCACGAATAGACATCAAGGGTAAAGGATCAATCTTGTTTATTGATATGAATGGAGAACAAAGAAAGATGTCTGATGTTTACTTTATCCCTGACCTAAAGAGTAATATCATTAGTCTAGGTCAAGCTACAGAGTCGGGGTGTGACATAAGAATGAAAGATGACAGTCTAACTATGCATGATCGTGATAGGAAGCTACTTGTCAAAGCAAACAGATCAAAGAATCGACTCTATAAAGTTCGAATGGGAATAACAGACACTACACAACTACACTTGACAACAATAAGTGAAGCAAGCAGATGGCATGCACGTCTAGGACATGTAAACCTTGAAACAATAAAGAACATGATGCAAAAAGAACTTGTTCAAGGAATTCCACAAGTCAGTTTTGAGAAAGAAATCTGCGGATCATGTTTGCTTGGAAAACAAACAAGACAAGCATTTCCAAAAGCCACGTTATTTAGAGCCACAGAGATCCTTGAGCTTGTACACGGAGATCTTTGTGGCCCCATAACACCAAGTACAACCGCAGGTAATAGGTATATCTTTGTTCTTATTGATGATCACTCTAGGTATATGTGGACAGTTTTGCTAAAAGAGAAGAGTGAAGCATTTGAAAAGTTCAAAAGGTTCAAGAGCTTAGTTGAAAAAGAATCAGGTATGAGTATAAAAACCTTCAGGACCGATAGAGGAGGAGAGTTTATGTCACAAGATTTCAAAGATTTCTGTCAAGAATCAGGTATTAAACGTCATCTTACTGCTCCATACACTCCCCAACAAAATGGTGTTGTTGAGAGGAGAAACAGAACTTTGATGGAAATGACGAGAAGCATCATGAAACACATGCACGTTCCAAACTATCTATGGGGAGAAGCGATCAGACACTCTACATACTTGCTAAATAGGATAGCCACAAGATCTGTTAAGGATAAGACTCCTTATGAAGCTTTTCACATGAAGAAACCAAACATTAATCATCTAAAGATATTCGGCTGTATTGGCTATGCCAAAGTAGAGACACCACATCTAAGGAAACTAGATGATAGATCAAAAATGTTGGTTCATTTGGGCACAGAACCAGGATCAAAGGCCTATCGGTTGTTCAATCCATTGAATCATAAAGTAGTGGTAAGTCGGGATGTTGTATTCGATGAGTCAAAAGGCTGGAATTGGAATCACAGTAGTTCTGATAACAATAATGATGGAAGCTTCAGTTTCACTTTTGGAGAATTTGGGAACCGTGGCATTCAAGAAGAGAAAGAGAACAGAGAAACAGTTGAAACAGAAACAGAACGTGTTCATGATGAAACAGAGCAGGTCGAAGATTCTGACAAAGAAAATGAGGAAGAAGGAAGCATTGATCTTGAGAATAATAATGATCATGAATCAGAAAATGTTGGAAATACAGAACAGCCTCAAACAGGTCCAAGAAGAACTCAACGACAAATAGTAAAACCAAAATACCTTCAAGACTATGTGTTACTTGCAGAAGAAGAAGGAGAGAAGGTGTTACTTTGTTTGAACAATGAACCATTCGATTTTACAGAAGCAAAAGATTCAAAGGAATGGATCCATGCTTGTGAAGACGAAATTAATTCAATAACAAAAAACAAAACCTGGGATCTTGTAGAGCTGCCACAAGGAATCAAACCAATTGGTTTAAAATGGGTTTTCAAGCTAAAACGCAACGCTGATGGAAGTATCAATAAACACAAGGCCCGATTAGTTGCAAAAGGTTATGTGCAACGATATGGAGTTGATTTCGATGAAGTTTTTGCACCTGTAGCCCGGATTGAGACAATACGACTTCTTGTAAATCTTGCAGCTTCAAATGGTTGGGAGATACACCATCTCGACGTTAAAACAGCGTTTCTTCATGGTGAGTTAAAGGAGACAGTTTATGTGATGCAACCAGAGGGTTTTATAGAAAAAGGAAGTGAGGAAAAAGTCTATAAACTCAACAAAGCTTTGTATGGCTTACGACAAGCACCAAGAGCATGGAACAACAAACTCAATCAAATCCTTAAAGAGCTTCAGTTTGTCAAATGTTCTAAAGAGCCATCGGTTTATCGGAAAACAATAGGAGAAAATCTGAATCTTCTAGTAGCAGTGTATGTGGACGATTTATTTGTCACAGGGACAAATATAAAGGTCATTAACAAGTTCAAAGATGAAATGGCATCTAAATTTGAGATGAGTGATCTAGGGAAGTTGACCTACTATCTTGGGATTGAGGTATGTCAATATGAAGGTGGAATAACTTTAACTCAAAACCGTTATGCTAAAAGGATTTTGGAGGAGTCTGGAATGAAAGATTGCAACTTAGTTCACATACCAATGGATGCCGGTTTAAAATTGTCTAAAGCTGAAGAAGAAAAAGAGATTGACGCAACAAGTTTCAGGAAAAATGTAGGATGCCTTCGTTATTTGCTCCATACAAGACCAGACCTGAACTATTGCGTGGGAGTTCTTAGCCGTTACATGCAAAACCCGAAGGAATCTCATGGAAATGCAATGAAACAGTGTCTAAGATATGTAAAAGGTACTACTTCTCTTGGATTAAGATATGAACGGTCTGCTAACAGAATACAAAGACTTGTGGGTTTTAGTGACAGCAGTCACAATGTTGACCCTGATGATGGAAGAAGTACAAGTGGTCATATTTTCTACTTAGGAGAAAGTTCAAGTCCAATCTCTTGGTGCTCACAGAAACAAGACACAGTGGCTTTATCTTCTTGTGAAGCAGAATTCATGGCTGGGACAGAGGCAGCAAGACAGGCCATTTGGCTCCAAGATTTGTTTAAAGAGGTGACTGGCTTTCCATGTGACAAGGCTCTTATTCGGATAGACAACAAGTCGGCTATTGCTCTCACAAAGAACCCGGTCTTCCATGGACGTAGTAAGCACATCCATCGGAAGTACCACTTCATAAGGGAATGTGTTGAGAATGGACTTGTGGAAGTAGAGTATGTTCCGGGTGAAGAACAGAAAGCGGATATTCTAACAAAGGCTCTAGGCAGGATCAAATACAAAGAAATGAGAGAGCTTATTGGCGTTCGAAATTTGGCGGAAGATGGCTTCAAGCTTAAGGAGGAGATTGTTGGATTAAGCTTGAATTGAGGCCCAAGAAAACAAAGTCGGTTTGTAATAGGTTTTAGGATAAAGTCTAATAAGATTTAGGAGTTATCTAGATCTTAAGGTTAGTCGGTTTATGAGACTTCTAAAACCCTATATATATATGTTTATTGAGCTTGTGATAAACATATGAGTTGTAGAAGAGATTAAGAGATTAGAGCTTTAGGTTTTTGAGAAAGTTTTCCTAAGGAAATAAAGAGAGATATTCTTTAACTTTGAGTTCTTAATCTTGTTTTACATTCTAGAGTTCTTTCCTATATACATATACAACATTCACAAGGCAAAGCACGGAAGTGACTCTAAAACGTATGACAATGAAGGAAGGTAAGTAACAGCGTAACCACGGCGCATATTTAAATATAGGAATGGGATAAACGAGATTTAGCTGTATTGTATATGTATGTTTGTTTTGGGAAGGTATACACCGGCGAATCTTGAGTTAATGTTTAGCAAATACGCGAGGACCGTGCCAGATAAGTTGAGTCTTGGAGAACTATGGGACATGACCGAAGGAAACCGCGATGCCTTTGACTTTTTTGGATGGTATTTACTTGTTACAATGCTCGAATGTGGTCATGTCCCTTTATAATTAACCGATTTTTGGTTTGTGAAGTAGTATCTTTATGGATATGTAGGTTAGCGAGCAAGGTGGAATGGGGAGTATTGTATGCATTAGCGAGTGACGAAGAAGGATTCTTGTCTAAAGAAGCCATAAGGCGGTGCTTTGATGGAAGCTTGTTCGAGTATTGTGCAAAGAACTACGCTGAGATCAAGGAGTACAAGACGTACTACTGATCATCATTCGTTGATGAATGTGATGATGAAGATGATGATATGTAGATGTTAGTTCTTTTTATTCGAAGCAACACGCTCGTAGACTTGTGAAGACACTTGAATTAATTCAGTAGTAGTTATATTATGAAGGAAAGAGGGTGTGGGACATATATCTTGTCCAGAACTATATAACTTTTATATATATTAGAAATGTTTGTTTATTATGCAAATATGTATATCTGTATATATATTAGTTAATTAATTGATTGAATGGATCCGTATACGGAATTATCTTTTCTGTCGTTTGATTTTTTTTTGGCGTATGATATACATAGAAAATTAAGTGTGGTATTTGTTTGTATCTATTTACCGTACTGGCGGTACATAATAAACGCATTTTTGGGTACAAATATATAAAGAAGCAAAAAGTTAGTAAACTCGAATTTGGTTACTATGATTCTAGTTTGGTACAATTTCATCGGCTGGTTTGGTTTATTGGTTAGGAACCCGGCCGGCAAGACTTCATTTCTTATAAAGATATTTTAATAAGTATTTTAGTTTACATGCATGATCAAAAACCCATGATAAAGAACATAAGAAATATATATAGAACATAAAGAAGCCCTAATTAAGAAGAAGAAAAAGAAGTTAAAACAAGAGCACACGAACATTTTTCTTTGATTAATTAGTCTTTTCCTTTTCATTTCACTTGGTACTAAGTAAAAGATAAAGAAGCGACGATGTGGAAGAACTGCAAATTCACCAAGACATCTTTGGCGTGGCTAGTGGCTCGGCGTTCAACACGTGAGAACAGCTCATTGCTTAGCTCTTCGCCTATGTGAGCTTCCACGAGCACTCCGGCAACACTTCGACAACTACTAGCAAAGGCACGACCGACCTCGGATGCATCGTCTGGTTCACTCACCACAAGCGGACTCCCTCCTTTGTAAACAACCAGCTTCTCAATTGCAAATGAGCCATTGGCTTCAACTACTTCCTTGAAATCTATCAAGCTTGGTGCGTATACCGGGATATTGAATCCATCTCGTTTCTCAGCCGCCACCAAACCCTAAAAATATAAAATAAAATTTACATATATATATCAATTCTGCTTTATATAATTATATTTAGATATAACTTTGAACCGAGAATTAAATTCAGGACTTTTAGCCAGTTGAACCAATGTCAATTACGTAGGTTCCATTGAATGCAAAAACTAAAATATTTTGAATATAATTTTAAGATGAGCCTCAAGGGCTTCGTAGTTCAATATGTTAATTTATACATACTGTAGTATTTTAAACTTAATTAAATTATATATGTACTTTGATTCGCTAAATTTATATGATTATATTTATATCTGACTATAGGATATAAATTTATAATGACTTTAACACATGTAAACTTTACTTTCTGGTGACTACTTGATCTAACGGACTAGAATGATTATGTTAGAAAGCAACGTAACAATTCTTGTTGAAACTTTTTGTACGTCTTCTTTTCCTACCGTACTTCAATAATATGGCCTGCCGATTTTGTCTCTACAAGGTCATCATGTCTATTTTTTCCTGACGCATATATAAACTGATACCGTAGCTATATATTGGATGGTTCATTTTCATTTATGATCGATGAGGACAATCCGACGGGTAGGATTGATTGTTACATCTAATACGAGGAGTGATGAGAGTGTAAATATACAAAAAATGTAGGTTTGATTATTTTATTAAAAATATACTAGATCATCACCCGTACTACAGTACGGGTTGAATTTCATTTATTACAAATTTTATATATTATATAGTTATAGAATAAAATCGTGATATATTATAATTGTAAGTAAAAAAATATTAATTTTTTTATGTCAGTCCATATATATAATATTAGAATGAATATATTTTTATTTTTCTGTAATCCTCAATTATGGATATATTTTTTAAAGATATGAAAACGGAAATTAATATTATTTTCAAAAAAATAATATTGTTTGAACAATGAGTTAATTTATGTTAACAACCACAAAATGAGAGTGCATATAATTTAGTTAGATCAAAAATGAAAATATCATAAATGAATCGCATCTAAAACGTAGATTATTTTGAATTAGTTAAAAAAGTTAGCTATTATTTTGAATTAATTTAGGAAATTATTTTTTCAAATTCTAATTCATTAGTTGTTGAAATAGAGATTTGTTTGAGCTAATTACGGAATTTACTAATTATTCACATAATCGAATATGTTATGAACATATATTTGGTATATAATAATACCAAATTTAATCCGTGTGTGGAGTCTATATTTTCATTTTACAATCCCTATGAAAATATTATGGCACAATCTATTATTCATTATTTTCAAAATTGCTTGCAGAATTAAATTTTCAAATATTTAGAAGTGTCAAACCTTATTTAACTCATCTCATCATAAAATCTTAAAATGTCGTCTATTATAAGGATCATAACTTTCTATCATATAATACATTACTTTTAACCCGCCGCCTACTATAAATATATTAAACATATCTTTTTAGAAAATCAAATTAGTATTTATAATTTTTTTATCTTTTTAATCTATTAAATATTTATGATATTCTTTAATATATTAAATTAAACTTTTTTAAAATGTTCCAAATTAAAATCTTTAAAATTTTTATTGTAGTATGTAAAATTATGAATTTAAATATATATATATATATATATATATATATATATATGAAATTAAATATAAATATTCAAATAGTTATAAGGATCATAACTCATTTCATCATATAATACATTATATTTAACCCGCCGCCTATTATAAATATTTGTTTCAAAAAATCAAATTAGAGTATTTATATTTCTTAACTTTTTGATCTATTAAGTATTGATGATATTAAAAAAAAAATATATTACTCAAATATGATTTTTTGACCCGTTAAATTTGTTCTTTCATACATTGAACAATTTCTATTCGTTTTTAAAAATTCAAATCTTTGTATATGCGGAAAAAAATTACTTTTTTTTTAATTATGTAGATGATATAATAATTTATTTATTTTATAGAAATAGAATAATATAAAGATGAGAGGTGAAGTATAATGATTAATAACAAATTAATGTGATAAGTTAGATATCAAATCTTATATGTTCATTTTGATTGGTCATTCTTTTTTAAAAAATTAATAATAGATTTTCGTTTTTATAATTAAATTAAATTAATTAAATTGCATAAAATAGTATTTGACTTGTTTATCCTTAATGAGTTGAATTAATTTACTCTATAAAATTTTATTTCTAATGGCATTCTTAAGTAAATTCTTACAAAAGGGAAGGTTAGTTAAGGGTATCTTATAAAGTGTACTCCCCAAATAATAGTATAGGATAGTCTTGTTAAGAAAAGCTTAATTTCAAGAACTTGTGGATAACATTGAATACTTTTACTGAACTAGTATACTAGGTTTGATGACTTTACGAGTAAAAGGTTTTATTATTCTGGTTATGCTGTAAAATTCTTAGAAAAAGGTTAATTTTCTTAGAGAAAGCAAAAAGGATAATTAGCGACATTTCCAAAGAAATTCCCAAATTGGTTCAAATGTAGATATCTATCCTAGAGTTATATATAAGTTTTTTTCCTCATTTCTAGCAGTTTATTCATAAAATCGAAAAGGGCTGTAATAGTAGTATAAATTTAGAGCTCGAGGTTAATAATTAGAGTTATAAGATTAATTAATTACTTGGGGGGAATTAATAACGAGTAAAATTAATGAAGGTTGTACCTCGCGGACAAGGTCGTCCCAAGCGTCCTGAAAATGAGTGCCGAAGAGTAGACCGGCACCACCCTGGTCGGTGGGATCCACAGAGGTACGACCGAGACAAACCAGGAACATGGCCCCACCTCTCTTAACCTCCGCCGCTCTTGCCCTCAAGAATTCCGCCAAGTCCGCCTGAAACTGCCGTTTGTATGCCGTCGCTGTCTTCTCTCCGGCGCCGTGTATGAAAACTCTCCCTCTATTGTACGCCGCCGATCTCCTATCCGTCACACTTTCCGGCACCTACCATATTATTTTCCATTTCTTAATGTATATTATCACTTTGTATTTTTGGTTCTTAAGTTGAAAGAATAAAATTACAAGTTCACAAAGTAAGAATAATGTTGACATGAAACTATCGAGTCCTGATTGTTCATTCCTTCTGATATCCCTAGTCTGGATTTATGCTTTAAGCGTATTTCAAACATCCCAATTTGACATTAATTAATTAACCGTTTAAGCTTTAAGCAAAAAAATTGGAAAAAAATAAAAATATAAAATGGACACCATGACACGTGTTGGGTGTAATAAAGTGACCTAGCATACATTACGACTTTACGTTACGTAGAGTGGTGTACCTGAGAGAGCCAATGCAAGGAGAAGGCAGAGTGGAAAAAGTCAATGGTTCTCGCCGGAAAAAGTCGCCGGTAAAACGATCCGGGAACACCAGCGACGAAGTAGGAGCGGTTTCCGTCGGCAGCAAGGCACTCCTCCATGCAAGAGTTAGAGACAAGTGGTGGAAGAAGCTGGAAAAGCGTGTTGAAGTCGTTGCTTGGGAGATCGGAGAAGAAAGCTGTGAACTCCGGAGGGTCGATTCCGGCAACATCAAACCGCTTAGAGATATGTTTGACTATGAAATCGATTATGTGGACGGTGTTTGCGCCGGAGGAGCAGCCGAGATCAACAGCCGTAAACGGTGGCGGACTGGCGGAGGAGTTTAGGTGGACATTGTCAAGTGTTTCCTCTAAGAGGTGAAGCATGGACCGTGCATGCATCGCCTGCATATATTAAATTTTTAATTTTTCATGAATTTAAATTGTCGATATCTATTCGTTTTCTCGTGATTTACTAAATATATACATTTCCATGCACGTAGACTCTGGCTCTTATTTGTCTCAACAATCAACATTATACACATTTTGTTTTAGTATATAGCTTAATTAATCTAATTAACGATTTATTATTTAGCAAATCAATAGCATGCATGAGTCAAATCCGGTATAGCCGATACATATATAACAAACCAACCAAGATCAAATCAGAATAATTAATCCAGAAAACTAAAAGAAGAGTAAATAAACCGATTTCGTTGATTTATCAACTAAACCGAATTGAAACGGAAATACACAT